TAAAATTCATAATGTACTAGTATTTTGTCAAAGTGTGTGACCTAAAAAATAATTATTATCTAATTAAATAATAATAAAAAAAGAACTGATGACTAACGATTTGCAAAAAGCATTTTTATAAATTAATGAATAATAGTTTTTCGGCAAAACATGTTAAAATGTAGAAAAGCATACTAACTTAAAAGTAGCTACGAATGCGAATAATATGCTGAATAATATAAATAGAATAATATTTTCTATTACAGTCGACCCCCTATAACACGGTAGATACGTTCCGTTCTTTATGAATCAATTTTGTACGAGTCCTTGCCAATCACAGCCACGTGTGAAGTTTACGGACTAAGGCTGTTTAAAAGGTTTTCTTCCATAAAATTAATCGATTCTAGACTAATTCTACTCAACATTTTCAAAATATGTATAATTTTTTTTGGGAATAATCCGTATAAACTATGCAATAAACAAAAAATTGTAGGATTACTTACCGAGTGTACACCGTTCGACGTCGCCATTGCTTAAGCTTGTTTTCATCGCGGAGCAGCGTACCAAACGCGGGCGATTTCTGATAAGTTATTTTTTTGCGAGAACTTCGTTGAACTTTGGAGACATCATTAATATAAATAATTTTTATGGCTGTTGAATAAGAAATGTTTCTTTCACAAGAAATGTATAAAATTACAGTACTGTATTAGACTTACGGTACATAATTTACATACTGTACAAACGATAGTAAACAACTTACTCGCCTAAACTCTCCGTAACGTAGCGCTGGACAGCGGAAAGTATATATATAATTATAATAAAGTTACAATAAATTAAGTTAATATATAATTATATATACAGCACCTAACTTATATTTATTATATGTATTGTATCTAATTTATATATAATTTACATATAATACTGTACAGACGATAGTAAACTCAATTTACCGGCCGAAATTTTTCGTAGCGTGGCGCTGGTCTGCGGAAAGTAGTTCGGCTTATCGATGACGTTTTACCGAATTATAGGAGTTTTTTTACCAGGTTTGTACGGATACCGTCGCAATTTTTCGCCGTTTTATAGGAATCGTAATTATAGGAACCCGTGTTACAGGGTGTATACCGTATGTCTAAAGTGTACTTTTTTTGCAGTCATCCGTACAGATTGCTTGCTCCATTTGTCACTTCTTGATTGGTCTTCCCCATGTCTCCAGGGTAGAATTCAAGTTTTAACACGCGGTACAGAACAGTTTCGTTTGCTTTCATTTGTGTACGGCGTCGCGACACATAGGCAATGTTCGAATGGAGAAATTTCTTTCTGGATATCTTTTATGGGAAACTGGCCCTAGTTAGGTGTTAAAAACAAGAAGAAAACTCAAAAAAGTCTGCATGTCCAGCCTAAGTCGACTGAATAACTTTATTAATGTAGTAAACATACATAGCTTGATTACACATATCCATTATTAGGCAAGTACCAGAGGTAAAAGGACAACAAACTTTGTACATGGGTATAAAAATATATCCAATTGTGTGATTTACAGGAATTCGCGTAAGACTAAACGCAAAATAACGATAGTTATTTTGCGTTTAGTCTTACGCAAATTAGGTTGTTGGCGAGGTACTAACTCACGACTATAGTTGGGACATTTTATTTTCTCTGTCGGCACGAGAGATCGGGAAGTTTGGAACTTTCGCCCTTAACACAGTTGCGTGTTTTTGGCACAACAACCATGCATTCACCGTTGCACGACATGCTTGTTCGTAGAAAGCGTTTCATTTTGCCGATTTCCATTTGACAATCGTTGACTTTTTTAAATTTGTACAAGAACCACGTTCAGCACACCACACAATGCATAGTGCAGAAAGAAATATTGTAATTTTCATGACATTTGCCATTTCTCAAATTTCATCAACGATTCTGTGAATGTAAAGAATGGAAAATTTTCATAAAAAACGGGAAAGTCAAAATATTAAAACAAATGAATTTTTATAAAAAGTACTGAAATCTCTATCGGAATCAACACAACCGCGTGAAAAATAGATAAAAAAATATCCATGAATCATCAGTATTTTAATAGATAAACTTTTTTCGCTCGTACATAAAAATGCCTAATAAACGAAATAAAATATTTACATATGAATGAAAAGTATCAAAACTTAAATATGACATAACTATGTCGCGCCCACCATTGGCTGACTGTATAAAACAGTGAAGATGATTGGCAGAATGGCAACGTGTGGAAGGTCCTATTTAACATCTGTTTATAATTTTTTTTCTTACGTGCCTAACACCAAATTTGTCCATTTTTCCGTAGAAAATATTTCTCAGGAAGGAATTACATGTCAGATCCGATATGTATTACATTGAATGCTGATACTAAATCAATGCACGAAAAATGCATTGTGAATTGTTACATAAAGTAAAATATTTGGCAAATTACGAATTATCCTGTTGTTGAGTTTATTCAAAACAAAACTAATTAAAAATTTGAAGAACAATAATGTCAAATAAGTTGTAAACATTTTATGTTCAATTCAATTCTTCTCTTGTTATATAAGTTAATTAAATTATTGACTTGCCCAAGAACGACACAAAATTTAATTAAACAGCGATTATACCTTTGTACTTAACGTTAATTATTACCATTGACGTCATTTATATTAATCTGTTGCAGATTGCAGTCTGACATTCCTTAGACTAAGCTGGCTTTAACCGTGATAATGAAAACATATTTTACATATATACTGGAATTCCATTTGATAATTGTAAGAATGTCTTTCTTGTCTGCTGAAAAATATGGTGAGATATTTCTATCTTTGTTACTTTAAACGTTTAATTATTTTCATATAATAGTGAATTTCAGATTTATGTTTTTATTCAGCAATCTTAATTAACTAAACTGTACAGTTGATACCCCTATATCACTGTCGATTATTTCGTTTTATATGAATTCCATGTTGTACGATTTTTCATATATGTGAGCCGTTCACAGCCCGACATACGTATTTATAAAATCTAAGTCACTCGTGCAACATGGAATTCATATAAAACAAAATAATCAACAGTGTTATAGGATGGTCGACTGTATTTGTATCTTTGAGATAATTTGCAATCCAAAGCCAATACAATTTTTATAGTGACGTTTCAGATAGTATGGAGAAAAACAGCGGAAAACAATTTGGAGAGGGAGTGACTAGTGGTTACAGTTTTTACAAATTTTTGTATCTATACTAATATTATAAAGAGGTAATGTATGTATGTAAGTTTATTTGAAGCAGGTAGTCTCCGAAACTACTCAACCGATTTCAAAAATTCTTTTAGAAATATTTAGAATGGAACTTCAGGGTGGACATAGACTGTATATTATTTCGTTAAACATTCATATAAATTAAAAGATATTACCTAGGCTTAAGGCTTTTATGTCCAACAGATGGCGCTGCGAGTACGACAACTTAAGTTTTCTCTTCTGTGAGGCATTATGCTTTTCTGTGAAAATGAACTAAAGCAGATCATTTTCAATCTATTTATACAAATAAAAATATAATGTTCGTTTGTTCCTACCAATTCTTTTGAAATTTTGACAAAATGCTGCATTTGAATACGCACGTGTTTTTATATACTGTAATATACGTGTCGAAATTCCCCCCACTGAAGGGAGACGGTTAGGATTAAGGCTTACGGTAAAGATCTCTGCTTCTATTTATACTATTTTAGATGCGTGTGTTTGCGTTTTTGATTGCGTTTTAATAGGGTACGTCAACAGAATGTACACTAAGAAGGGATTTTTCGATATTCCCCCGCGGGGGAGAGAGACAAAATTAAGGCTTACCGTGAAGAACTTGCCTTCTATTATATTATTTTAGATGCGTGTTTTTGCGTGTTTGATTGCGTTTAATAAATAATAGGGTACGTCAAAAGAATGTACACTAAGAAGAAATTTTTCGAAAAATTTACCCCCAAAACAAAATTTCCCCCCAAATAAAAAACAAAAATAGAAACATATAAATAAATAACAATATTATAGGATTTTATAGACACTGCGAGACAACTTAGATGCGATACAGTTTATGCAACAATCGCTACCGGAACAGCGACGAATTAATTAGTGTTTTTTTTTTTTTTACTCCTATCATGAGTCGCATGGGTCTGTCAGACTAAATGTATTTTTCTGTTTAAAAATGAGCGTTGCGATGCAAACAATATTAACAGCATGTTGATCGGGATCGAAAGTTAGAAAAATATTAATTTTTTGAAAGTTTTAAAAAATGCTTCAATATTAAAAATTGTTAACTAAAGTTCGCACCGGGTCCGTCAGACCCACGCGAACTTTATCTAAGATCTGACACGCTTTCTCGTATGGGTGTTTAAACTCTCTCAGCAAATAGATGTTTTGTCAACACTTCCGGACTATTAGTATTTCTGAAAAGCCCACCCCCTACTATTTTATATTAATTAATGATAAGTGGTGAGTATTTGGACCGTAAAATTAAGCTCAGATTAGCTATACATTAAATGGGTTTACTTTGTTTAAGTCAATAAGTGTAATTTTATTAACCCTGGTTCAAAATTATTTCCATATACACATCCCCTAACATTCTACAGTAGTAACGTGTATGAGAAATCAACACAGGAAACATGAATTGTCCATTGTTAGGTAAAGACAAATATTTTTCGCAATTCAAAAGTTGTATATCGTTTTATTTCTGCAAAACAAATATAATTTAGTCAGAAAATGAATAACGTGAAAGGAGTTGTAAACATTTTATTTCTAGTTCAATTCTTTTTTTTTCTTGGAAGTAATCAATATTTAATTAAAATATTTATTTGTCACAGAACCAATATAAAATTAAATTCCACATCGATTTTGCCTCCTTTTTCCACGCTAAATATCATCTTTGACGTAATTTATATTATCCTGCTGCAGATTGTAGTCTGACATTCTTTAGACTAAGTTGGCTTTAACCGTGATAATGAAAATACATTTTAGAAATATTCTGCAATTGTATTTGATTATTGTAATAATGTTTTTCTTGTCTGCCGAAGAACATGGTGAGATATTTTCTACTTTAATCGTTTACTTATTTTTACATATTAGTATACTTAAGCTTTATGTTCGTATTCAGTAATCTTAACTAAAAGTACTCCTATCTATTGCTATCATGTAGATTATATCAAGTTTAAATGCAATTGTATGTGATAGTTCCATTGCAGTACCTAAATTTTGTTAAGTACGAAATTAACAGAAGGAACTTATTGTAGGTTTGTATAACGTAAAATTAAGCGCTGGCCAGTAAAGATTAAAAACAACATAACTTAATAGAAAAACAGTTTCATTTTGCTATTGTATATGATCAAAAAGCACTGGTCTTCAACTTTTACAGCCAGATCGTTTTCATGAAATCTATCAGCTGCTTTTCGTGCATTTCGTTGTCTCTCCATATAATATAGTTGTTTCGTGCAACGTTCGTCAGTGTCAGACATTGTAACAGTACTATTAATTGGCAGAAGGCACAACGATGGTCATTTTATAAAGATACTAGCAGATAAGCCTGGCTTTGCTCGAGCAAAATGTAACGATAGCGAAGATTAAGATTATTAAATTACAGCCAATCTTACCAGTCTATAGAGAATGCAAGAATTAAATCCTCTTGTTTCCAGACTAATTAGAAAATTTTTAGACGTGTTTAAATATATGTTATATTTTCCGTCATAATCTCTTCTTTCCCATTGTTAATACTTCCATTGTTACTTAACACTTTCATTGTTGAAACCTTAATCCCGTCTCCCCGGCGGAAATTTCGAAAAATTCCTTCTTACTGTACGTTATCGTGACATACCGTAAATGTGTACCAATTTTCAACTTTCAACTTCTAACCGTTTGGGTTCTGCGCTGATTATTGTTATCAGCCTGTTTCGATTATATATATAGAGTAGCTGTTACCCGCGACTTTCGCAAGTTTTGGTTTTGCAAGCAAACCCCATTTATATTCAGTATTTCAACAATTATAGTAATTAGTATATAACACCTACTGCAAAGAATTAAACGAACTGTTTTCAATTTGATGAATTTTCCGAAACGTTTACAATCGTTTTATAATAGACTAATATGCAACAACAAATTCGAATTTAAAATGGTTCGAATATTTGGTTAAAAATCGAAATATATGAAAATATTTATAACATTGTTTGAAATGTTATCAATTTAATACACCTTAGTACATAATGAAGACGTAGTTGATAACAAAAAATCGCATCTAAAATAGTAAAGTAGAAGCCATTTTTCCAGATGGAGACCCTTTTAAAAATTCCTAGGGATTTATCGACTAATTTAGATTCGATTCCCGGAGTTTAATTTACACTTTCTTTGTATTTGAACTTTGAATTGTATTTGAAAAAAGATGTATATTGAAACTGCGAATAACTATATTTGAAAATATATTGGTTATCAATACTGTAGACCCCCCTATAACGCTTAGATACGTTCCACGCTAACCGAAAATTACGTTGTAGGAACGATTAAATACGTAAGCCAATCGCAGCCCGATAGGTGGGAACTTTACAAACTAAGGCTGTTTGAAAGGTTTTCTTCTATAAAATTAACCGATTCTAGACTAATTCCACTCAACATTTCCAAAATACGTATAATTTTTTGGGAATAATCTGTATAAACTATGCTATAAACAAAAAATTGTAGGATTACTTACACCGTTCGACTACGCCGTTGCTTAAAGCTGGTTTTCATCGCGGAACAGCACGCGAAACGACGGCCGCAATTTCTGATAACGAATTTTTGGCGGAAAAATAACTTGACCTTTGGAGACATCATTAATATAAATAATTTTTATGGCCGTTGAATAAGAAGTGTTTCTTTCACAAGAAATGTATAAAATTAGTGCTGTATTAGACTTACGGTACCTAATTTACATACTGTACAGACGATAATAAACTCAACTTACTAGCCTAAAATCTCCGTAGCGTGTTGCCAGGCGGCAGAAAGCATATATATAATTATAATAAAGTTACAATAAATTAAGTTAATATATAATTATATATACAGTACCTAATTTATATATAATTAATATATAATTATATGTACAGTACCTAATTTATATATAATTTATATATAATACTAAACAGACGATAGCAAACTCAATTTAGCCGCTCCGTAGCGTGGCGCAGGGTCGGAGGTAAGTAGTTCGGCTGCTTATCCACTATTGGTCCAGACTCTATCAATCTTCTCGCGAAACGACGTTATAGGAGGTACGTTATACGAAAGTTTCTACAATTTTTTCGCTACGTTATAGGAATTGTCGTTATAGGAACGTACGTTATAGGGGGGTAGACTGTACTTTTGTAACAAATGTTTTATAAAGCATTCGATATGTTATATTCCATTTTTCAATTTTAATTATAAGCTATTAATTTGCTGGCTTTGTTTATATGTGTGTATGGCACAATTATGTTCGCCATCTTTAAAGCTTATTAACGTCTGTGCCTTTTGTGTAAAATTTAAAAAATTTTGTAGGGAAGTTTGTATGTTCGGAAGATTGATGCCGTTAAATTTTTGAGGTCAAATGTTGACGGGTTGGAGAGATAGAAGGTGATTTGTCATATTTCAAGTAGGGTTGGACTTATTGATGATTTTAATTAAACCAAATAATAACTTTAATATTTTGTTCCATTAAATTGCAAATTATTTATTTATTGATAAAACAACTATTATGTGTAATGGAAAACTAAAAAATCTGCACATGCATTGTTTTGTTCATATTCTACGAAATTGTATTTATTATTCTATGTTACAACGAAATTATATCGATAATCCAGCAATTATTTCTTTCTGTCGGATTCGATATCGATCATATAGAATGATTTTTGCTTTTATTATGACACAAAACGTATTCGTATTTACAATTAAATAAATTACGCTAAAATATCTACGGATCTCGAAATATCTTAGAAACATTTGACATCTGTGATCTTCACGAGAATTAAGCTCCGATTAGCTATACATTAAGTGGGTTTACTTTGTTTAAGTCAATAAGTGTAATTTCATCAAACCTGGTCCACAAATATTTCCATAAACATATCCCCTAACATTCTACAGCAATTAGAGGAAAAAAGGCAGATAATTGAATGACAACGTTGATACTAAACGTATTCTAAAATGTAGTTGATTCAATTCTTTATTTGTTATTAGATAAACGAATCATGCACCAATGAAAACCAGTGCAGTTAAAATTGCTGCGAAATGCCACGCTGCCTCAGGCTATCAACTTTGAAATATGTAAACAATCTCTAGAATAAAACAGCTTGATTTCATCGTTTTTTGACTTTTAATTTGCTAATAAAAAGTTGTTTCACAGTATTTAAATGGATAAAGATTTTAATACTAAGTCTATGAAAAATTTTTTTGTAATTAATTGGCTTTAAAATTGTTGTTTATGCTCCTTTTCCGCTCTAATTAATCATTTCTTTTATAACTGAATCGCCTTTCTGAACCGTCATTTCAAGTTTTTCCTACGAATAACCAACTGCATAAGTGCAGGAAATAAAAATACGTCGCTAAGGCGCATGGGGGGCAGCAGTTTTGATGAGAACTTTGCTGTCACTTTATGTAAAAAAATTTCGTACAACTTTGAAATTTCTAGTCCAATCTGCATACAATTCAAAAAAGGTACTGAGAATATTATTTTCCAACATTTTACTTAGCTATTGAACACGTTCAAAAAATCCTGGTCTTGGTACAGTCAGAAAAGCTCTCATGAGATATATCTGCTGTTATTCATGAATTTTGTCACTTTACCCCCATAAAATATAATTGTTTTACACTAGTGTAAGTAAGTATTAGACACATTGTAACAATATTATCAACTAGCAGGTGGGCCCGGCGTTGCTCGGGCAAAAGTAACGATAACTAAGATAAAGAATATTACGTTACAGTCAACCTTACTCGTTTTCACAGAATGCAAAAATTGAGTCCCCTTGTTTCCAGACTAATTAGAAAACTTTTAGATGGTTCTAAAAATATGTTCGATTTCCCGCAAAAACGAAAGAACTGCATCTGCGCCTGTAAATCTTGCACGTCGCTTTCTCTTAACAACACCATTGTTACATAACACTTCCATTGTTACTTAAAACTTCCATTGTTACTTAGCACTTCCATTGTTACCTAGCACTTCCATTGTTACTTAACAATTCCATTGTTGATGAAAGTGTTAAGCCTTAATCCTGTCTTTCTCCCCCCGGGAGGAATTTCGAAAAATCCCTTCTTAGTGTGCGTTTTCGTAACGTACCCTATCTGTGTACCAAATTTCAGCTTTCAACTCCTAACCGTTTGGGCTCTGCACTTATTATTATTATCATCAACCCGTCTCGATTATATTATAGATTAGCAGAGTGCGTAATGCCAAACAGAGATATTGGCGGCGTGTAGTTGCAAGGTTTGTGAACAAAAAGCTATCAATTTAAATCCTTTACTTCAGTTTGAAATATGTACATATTTTCGAGTAAATTTATTCGCTCCATTTTGAATAAATTACTTATATTACTGTAATCGTCGCATTGCTACTAATGCAACTAAGTGATTTTGGCGTGCCACTAACAGAGTGCATAATTGTACAGTGAACACATTTTATAATAAAGAAATAATTTTTTTGCACTAATATATAGATTTTTTTGACTTTCAAGTATACAACGAAATATTCTTTCTATTATATTTTTGTCCATAAGGCATTTTTTACGAATACTCTTAATTCTGATAAAATTCTACATAGGAGCAAGAAATATTTCATATGAATGGAAAATTGTTGGTGTACAGGTAAGATGACTTTTTTCTAATAATTAATTGTACTGTTTTTGCGACGTTGTTTACACTTTGCAGAAACCGTTTCTTATGACATTGGATGAAACGGAAACAAAAATCACTGACGGAATGCACTTTCACGTGTTTAAAGCTGTCCAAGAGAAATTAAAATTTAGGTAAATAATATAAATTCATTTACGAGATATTAATTAAATCAATAAACAGAGTATTAATTAATTTCATTTATATAGTTATTCCATTATAAAACCATTACCAAAACATATTGGATATCTAACAGAAAACGGCTCGTGGACTGGATTAGTTGCAAAAATAATAAATAAGGTAGGTGAATTGAAAGTATAGACATGTACATTTGTGAATGTCTGTACATATATATAAGTGCAAAAATACACTGATACAATACATATCACAATTATGTATTACAGTAATATATTGTGTATTATTACGACAACTAAGATTAATTATTACCGTATTTTTATGGTGGTGACTCGTGGAACTGTTAAAAAAAAATTACGAGGGATTATATCTCTGTCCCGTCATCTACAGTTTTGTACCCATATTATCGCCTAACTTGTATCTTGTCAAATTGTTTTTAACACAGACAACCAGCCTGTTATATGCATGAAAATACGATACAGAAGAGCCTCGAAAACTCGGCACTCAATAACCCGGCACTCCGGATAACTCGGCCACACCCTGGCAGGGCAAAAAATCCTTAGTTAATTCATTTTCATTATAGACAGCTTTATAAAAGTATAAAAGCTCTCCTAAGGTATTTTTTCTGAGGTCTGTCTTATCAGGTAAATAACTGTACACAGTGTATTCATTAATTTTCATTTTCATGTAGTAAAGGCTCTATGCCTTCATAAAGGACGTACTTTTCCTTTATTTAAGGGTATTTGGGCAGTTTATTCTCTGTTGTATTCTCAAGCAAACAATACATACAAGTACAGTACAATATTTTATGAGGAAACACGCATACTTATCCTTCTTTATCCCCATTCCCGATAACTCGGCATTTTCACAAACTCGGCCACCCTTCTGTCCACATTAAGCCGAGTTTTCGAGGCTCTACTGTATTATTCTCTGGTGACAATTATTAAAGTAAAAGTTCGTAACAATAAGGCTTATAGTAAATATAATATATAAATTTATACCGTAACTAAGCTTACTGAGAAATGTCACCAGACTGCGTGATATATCACGGTTTCTAGCGAAATTTCTCAGTAAGCTTATAAACATTGACTTATCTGTAGTCAATACAAAAATTATAAGGGATCAGTGCACTACAATAGGAGTAAGATTTCGGCTTGTTGAATCAATTTTGTTCAAGAATGATTTTAATTCCGTGGTAAGTTATATTTTCCTACTTTGCTGCTGAATAGCAAAGTTTTACAATATTTTCCATATAACTTCATGCAGTATCAGAATCGATCGACGTTATTTTTCAAATTTTTCACTTTTGAGTAATATAGCCAACCATTAGCCAAGTGGAAAAAATTCCGTGAAAGCTGATAGTTACTTGCGGATTCGCACCTGACGTTAGAGCTGGTCATGTGAATTTTTTGTTTCGGCGTAGCTTTTCAATTTTTTCAGCCTTTCACGTAGCTTTGTCAATTTAAATTATCAATTTAATACAATTAATTGTTTTGTTTTAAATTTAGGATGCTGATATGGCCTTCATTGCTTTATTCCTCAACCCTAACCGTTTTGCAGTAGTGGAATTTACTTCTTCATTAGTTTTCCAGTCCTTTGGGTTTGTCATCAAGATTCCAGAAAACATTCCAAATTGGATTTCAATAATAAAACCTTTCGGTTTGGATGTAAGTATTTAACATTTATATGGGATTGCCAACACGAACTACTGTCGCCCGGAGTGGTATTACTGTAATCTCAGTGCTTGGGAGATTAAATGCGGGTGGGTCGAAAAATTCTACAAAAATTTTTGCTAACTCCAAACGATATTTTTGGTGTCATCCTTCAAAATGGCGTTTTCCTTGTGGACTTGGCAAAACCCACGAAGAACCTGATACAGGTCTTCTTAATGCACAAAAGATAGTAATCGTAGAATAAACTATTTTCGGAATTTTTAACTTCAAATGATAGCAACCTTACTTTTAATTTGAATATTTATATGTATTAATTATTACCAGAACTATTATTTCTTTAGATTTGGATGGCGATTCTCTCAACGGTATTCATATATGGATTAGTATTGCATAAAGTAGTCGAAAGGGATTTCATGACTGACGAAGTGGGAATATTTTGGCCACGAAGCCGTGTGTTTTGGAATTTATTTTGCACGTTTGTTTACCAAGGTAAACGGTCTTTTGCTTTCATAAACTGATAAAAATATTAATAACTAGCAAATAAGTCTGGCGTTTCGATGACAAAAAGTAACGGTAGCGAAGAATAGTACATTATAACCGATATTATCCGTTTTCAACAGATTGAAAGAAGGGCCTAATTCTTATTAGGCTCCTTTATTGGAGACTAATTAGGAAATTCTTCGATATCTGCTGTCTGGGATGACGATAAGGAAGTGTCACTGCAACCATTAATCGGTGCGTAAAACTACTAAGTCATGAATGACGAACTCTGTCTGAGAGTTTGACTTCAGGTTTACTTATTTTCCAAAATTAGCTGGATCTTCGAGAGTTATTCGTAAATATAAATTCAAACATTAAGTCGAAGTGTTCGAATACAGCGAACTCTTCGACTTAACCCACTTTCCGTCTCAACTTTGAATACGATGGAAGATGTTAAGAATTTTTTAAAAGGGTCTAAAAATATGTTCGATTTTCTGGAATATTGCAAAAAATGACATATAAATAGTAAAGTTTTGCAGCTGACTTTTTTAAGATAAGACTTAATTCTTTCCTTCTCTCCTGCGAGGCGATTTCGAAATATCTCTATTTATTGTATCAATACATTATCGTGACGTACCCTAACTGCTTACCAAATTTTAACTTTTTACTCCAGACTGTTTTAGCTTTGAGCTTATTAATATTATTATTTTTTGACTACTATCAACCTATCACGATTACATTATAACATTAATATTTGTACTTAGGAATTAACATGGATAGCGTGAAGAGATTCAAATCCAGATTGTTGTATTCAATATGGTTGCTATCAGTTGTAGTGTTAATGGGTAGTTATAGTGGAACTTTAATGTCTTTCATGTCGTATCCTTTAACCGAATCCGTTCCAAAAACTTTTGAGGAACTTGCCATTGCTGTCAGAAATGGTGAATATTCTTGTGGTACTGTAGGAAAAAACGCTATGTGGAGTTACATTAAGGTAAGTAAAGACTGGTAATATTTGAAGTTTCTGTATTTAGAGCAATCTGTTCTTGTAAATAATAAGCTATTGGCACGAAAATTGTAAATTGTTTTTTGTAAATTAGGACTATGTAAATAATGCAAAATAGAATTTCTCAACAAAAATTTAGCTTAAAAAGTTCTGCTAGGGTGTGCTTTACTTGCTTTACAGGGAACCACAGGAAACAGAACAGAAATAACACAAGGAAAAGGTATCTTTTCTTTCAGCGAGAAGCATGCCTTCTGCATACTTTTTTTATTGATGAAAAAAATGTTTCTCAAAATGTGCCTTATTATTCAGGTATAAAATTTCGTTTGCAGTGCCGTAAATGTTATTGTTTTCAGCGACTTCATTTGTAACATTTAAAATAACATTAAAATGTAAATTAACGTTCGTTGGTATTTACCGTGTGTCAAGCAGTATACTTCCCTGTAAGTGTCAGATAGTGGAAAATTTTGAACTTCATGTTTTTATTGCAAAATGTTTTTCATTATTCGTTGCAAAATCTATTTTGGGGAATTTGGTTATTGGCTATTGATACAGAGTGCACTTAATATAGAAACTTTAACAATGGATACCTAGTTTAACAAGTTTTGCATTTAGTACTTGTATAATATTTTATAATTTTCTTTCCTGCATATTATTTAAAGAATTCCAACAACAGGAGAGATAAAATTTTTAAAGATCACATCTTACGTCACAATCATTTCTTCTCTTTCTGGACAGCAAGCGATAAAGTTAAAAAAGAACGTTTTGCTCTGATAATGAGTGAATATGGCGCAAATAAACTGATAGAAAAAGAACCGAACAAATATATAATTTCTGCAGATGTTCTCGTCACATTTGTTCAGTCTTATGCTGTAAGAAAGGGATTTCCGTTTAAGAAGAAATTAAGTAAAACGTAAGATAACTTTTTGTTTACTTGTATGACGTTTTCTATGACGAAATAAATAATTAAAAATATTTGTTTTTTAGAATAATACATTTATTTGAAGCTGGAATCGTCGAGAGAAAAGATTATGCAGAATCATCAAAGCTGCTGAAGTATTCAGAATTCCAAGCATTACAATTGCCCGACATCATTAGTCCAATGATATTGCTCTCGATTGGATTTGTTCTAGCTTTAATATGCTTACTTTTAGAATTATTCTGTATAAGAATAATTAAAAATTAACATGTGCAAGGAAAAAATAACTATTCGTATAATATTACTTATATAACAATTAATCTAATTATTAATGAAAATCACCAATTTTATTCACACAGTTGTAATATACACTGTCGGATAGCAAATTTTGGAATTATATCTTATTCAATATTACGAAAATAATTAATATTATAATTCACAGTTTCTTTGTATTTAAAATTTGATTAAAATACATTAATGCTAATAAAAGAATTAATATCCACTATTTTTAAAACAAACTATGTAATTTACTATAGAAATTTAAAATATTATTTAAAGGAAAATGTAATAGTAATTAAAATTCATAGAGTAATAGTATTTTGTCAAAGTGTGTGGCTTAACAAATATATATTATCTAATTAAATAGTAATAAAAAAAGAACTGCTGACTAACGATTTGCAGAAATCATTTTTTAAATTAATGAATAATTGTTTTTTTTTCGGCAAAGAAAGTTAAAATGTAAAAAACCATACTAAGTTAAAAGTAGCTACGAATGCGACAAATGTTGGTCCGTTTTATTTTTTCTGTGGGCAGGAAAATTCGTGAAGTTTGCAAGTTCTTTCTTAACACAGTTGTGAATTTTTTGCACAACAACCATTTACTTACCGTTGCAATTTTGAAACCATTTAAAAATTTGAATAGGAACCATGGTTTGCACTTCACTCAATGTATAGTGCAAGAAGAAATATAGTTTCTATTATATTTGCCACTTCATAAATTTTATCAACGATTTAGACAATGTAAAGTATAGAAAATCTTTCCCAAAAGAACTAAAAAACAACGTTAAAACAATTAATATTTCATGTAGTATATCGAATTTTGTACCGGAATTAACATAAAAGTGAGCAAGCCGGATAGAAAATATTCATTAATAACGAATATTTTTATAGATGAACGTTTCGCTCGTATATAAAAAAGTTAATAATACGCAATATATTCAGATATAAATGAGCAGTTTATAAATTAAATTTTACATGATTACATTGCACCGACCATTAGCCGAATGGATAAAACAGTAAAGTTTATTGGCAGGATGGTAACGTGTAGTTGTCCGTGTTTAATTTCACGTGCCTAACACCAAAATCGACCAGTTTCCCGCAGACTGTATGACTTTTCTTGGAGGCAATCCTTTTTCTGATTTAACATAAGTTACATTGATTTCTCATACAAAACCAACGCACGAAAAATGTATTGTGTATTGGTGTGTAAAGAAACGTATTTGGCAAATTACGCGTTATCTATTGTTAAATTTTCTGCAACAGAAATATAATTTAGTCTGAGAGAGAATGACGTGAATGGAATTGTAAACATTTTATATTCAGTTCAATTCTTCTCTTTTCTTAGAAGTTAATTAAATATTGATTTGTCGCAGATTCAAAACGAAATTAAATTCCACATCGATTTTACTCGTCTTCTTGTCGCTAAATATTTTCTTTGGCATCATTTATATTAAACTGTTGCAGATTGTAGTTTGACGTTCTCGACTATGTCGGATTTAACCGTTGTAATGAAAGTATATTTTACAATCATTGTGCAAATCTATTTGATAATTGTAACAATGTCTTTCTTGTCTGCTGAAGAACACGGTGAGATATTTCTATCTTTGTTACTTTAAAAGTTTAATTATTTTTACATATTACCAAACTTAAGATTTATATTTTTATTTATTAATCTTAACTAAAAGTACTCCTATCTATTGTTATCTTTGAGATAGTTTGCAGTGCAAAGACAATAGAATGTTTTATAGTGACATTTCAGAACGTATGAAAGGCAACTGCATAAAACAATTAGGGGAGGGTGAAACTAGCGGTGACAGTTTTCACTATTTTTGAATAATGTATATACTTGATGCACTTCTAAAACAAAATTATGTGCATAATATACCTTATTGTTCTGCTTATTATATAAACATATAACCTACTACTGCAGTTTTTAGTATTATAATTAATTAAAATAAGCACTAGTTCGAGTGTTTTCAGCACAATGTATTAATTTGTTTAAAAAAGACGTGTAATGACGTTTCTTTGCTGAATGACAGTAGAACCGTTGCAATACGTACATTTTGTTCAGTACAAATATAATGAAAAGAAATTATTTAAGGTTTGTATAACGTAAAATTAAGCTTTTGCAGTAAAGGTAAAATACAACATAAACTAATAACAATGCAGTTTATTTTGCTATTGTATATGTTCAAAACAAACTGATCTGGATTTTTTGCAGCCGAATTCTTGTCGTGGATACTATCAACTGCTTGTCATACATTTTCTCTTGTCTCTCTATAAAATATAATCGTTTCGTGCAGTGTTTGTGAGTGCAATTAATAGTGATGTTACAATTAAACATTGTAACAGCACTATTAATTGGCAGGGCATACACGATGGTAACTTTTAAAGATATTGGTGGCGTGTGTTTCTACATCATTTGTGAAGATAGCACTTTTATCTTGAATCTGGTCTTTACGTTTGTAAAGTTTACATATTGCCAGAGAACGAATGCATGTAGCTTGTCAAATGAATTAATTTACTTTTTTTAATTTTTTACTTAAGTTACGCTATCGTTTCTTTTTGCCCGAAGAACTTTTAACGAGGTTTAACTGATAGTAATGTTATATTATAAACACACTTGTAAATAATTTAGAGAAGTATTTGGAGATTTTACACATCGAAAAATTAAATTTAAAAAAACGATTATTATAAGCCGTGATAGAAGTAAAGACTTCAAGTAAGCGAGCGAACGACCGACTTAATAAATCTTAATAAGCAGGAATTACAACATGTCAACATTAATTACACTTTATTATAAAAACTAAAAATATATATTTCATCAGGACAAAACACGAGTATTGTCGCTATCTGCCATGTTATCCCTGAAATACACATCAAATTTCAGGGGTGTTCTGTCCGTTCGTTTCCGAGAGATCGATTTTTATCGATACCTCACTTAAAAATTATTTTCTTGTTCAGTCAAAAAAGTTATTTTTCGCGAAATGTCCACTTTAAGCGGATCGGTATCATACACGATAGAGGCTAACAAAAAAATAACCGACAAGGGTTGATCAATTGAACAATCATCACTCAGTTTGCACTACATATCCTAACCTTAATTACCTCCAGCCATTAATTCCGTTAGTACGACAACTGTTATCAAATTTATGAGATGAAAGAAATGACAATACCGAATAGAAGAAGTAATAAATTTATAGAAAGGTTTCGAGTTTTAACAAGTAACATAAACACAGCCTGTAAGCAAGACAACCTTAGATGAGGTTGCATCAGATTTTGTATTAGTCAGCGACGCCTGGACTCGTATAAAAAGGCTTGGACACAGTCCTCCGGGTTAACATCAACGGCAGACATTAACCGGGACACCAGACCTATACCGCCATTCCGTCCGTCGTAACCCTTGATGAGCCAGATCCGAGAAGAAGGAAGACTACGATAAAGGTCAGCCGTTCCAGGGACAGTTCTTACCAACGACCCATACTACGAGATCAGAAACTTAGAGGTATTATTAAGCCAATTTATTTATAGGCCTATACTCTCTTTCCGCAAAGTCCTCTTAGAGAGGTAGCTCTCGTCTCTTAGTTTTAACTTAGAGAATAGAACTTAGACGGTCCATTGGAAAGACGAATCATTGTCGCGACCTAGAATAGAATTTTTGAATATTTCTATTTTTGTAGCTATTCGTTTTTGCATTTGCTTGTATAATTTTATCGTTTATTAAATGTGTTATTTTTGTTTAACCTGTGTCTTTATTCGGGAACCTGTCAACTTACTCGCAATCCTCTCCATTCATATTTTTGCCCTTCTATAAAGCCATCCTCTGACAGAACCGCCAGTAAGGGGGAAAAAGTTGATTTTCTACCCCGTCTATATATACTATATGTATTTCGATATATAATAGTATATTTGTGTGTCTCTGTTCTTAGCCTTTTGGTCAATGTTTACCAAATTTTTCTCGCTTATTTTCTAGGGCTTTGAGGGAAATATAGAACACTAGCAGACCCCGCCACGCCTTGCTGTGGCTCAAAATGTATCTATTATAAATGTATAACACTTCTCCCGTGGGGGAAAATTTTTCGAAAAAATGCAATCAGAAACGCAAAAAACCGTATCTAAAATAGTATAATAGAAGTGAAGTTCTTCACAGTAAGCCTTAATCCTGTCCCTCTCTCCCCGGGGGGAAATATCGAAATATCCCTTCTTTGTGTACATTCTGTTGACGTACTCTATTAAAACGCAATCAAAAACGCAAAAACCCGCATCCAAAATAGTATAATAGAAGCCAAGTTCTTCACAGTAAGCCTTAATCCTGTCCCTCTCTCCCCGGGGGAAATATCGAAAAATCCCTTCTTAGTGTACATTCTGTTGACGTACCCTATTAAAATACAATAAAAAATGCAAAAAACCGCATCTAAAATAGTATAAATAGAAGCAGAGTTCTTTACGGTAAGCCTTCCCCGTAAGGCTTACCGTAAAGAACTGTCCATCCCCCATGTTTAACGGAATAATATACAGCCTATGTCCACCCTGAAGTTCCATTCTAAATATTGGTGAAAAAATGTTTGAAATCGGATGAGTAGTTTCGGAGATTACCTGCTGCATACAAACTAACATACATACATACATACATACATACATACATACATACATACAAACATTACTTCTTTATAATATTAGTATAGATTTAGTTTTAGACGTAGACATCTTTTGCCCTTCCCTGACTTCATTACCTTATTTACTACTAAACATTTTGCCCTATCTGTACAAAACGTTTTATATTTATTCTCTGTAACTCGGGGAAAAATGTAGACTTTTATGAAATCTGAACGTTCCACTTTCCTCTCGATTTGCTCTCCGTGACACTTCGTGATTACCATAACAAAGATAAAAAGTTGTGGATCATTGTCAGTTAGTCTTATGTTTAAATCTAGATAAAAAAAATTCACTGTTTTGTTGAACGCTATATTCATTAAAGTACGAAATTAAAAATGTGTTAGTAGTTCTGGAACTGAAACTTTCTCGATTCTTGATATGAAAATGTTTCTAGTGTTTTGAAGTTCAAAGCTGTTCTGACAGGAACTATTCACCTGTACTCTAGATTGTCAAAAATTAGAATCATTGGAAGTGAAAGGTACAATAGCACATTTATCCTATATTAGATTAAACAATTTGATGAAATTAATTCTATTATTCCAGTTTTATTAAATTATGTTTCATTTACTTTTCGAACTGTCTGTTATTGATAAGACAACTATTATACGTAAGGGACTGTCAATACTGGAAGGGGGGAAAAGCGTTACGACAAGTCGGAGAGGAAGAGATGGGTTAAGTATATTTATTTCAAAGTTTCTTAAATGTTTCGTTTTTAATTCTGGTTTTTATCATTCATAATGTGATTAAGTTTTTATCACTTTTTTTGCTCCGTACGCCTTGTGGGCACTAAGAAGTCCTTTATAAGTTAGCCCATTATGGGTGCAGCCAGACCCATAATACAATAGTCGTGTGGTGACGGACGGGGGTCACTGTAATTAAAGGTGTTATTGAAAAAATTAAACCCTGGCCACTTGCTCGAAAAATAATTTGGAATATATTTCAAAAATTATTTTCAAATTTTGCTGTCCATTGATTTCTCTGCTTCGGTGTTAAGTAAGCTGTTGGTGACTATGTGACAATATTCCTTTTATATCCTATCGCAAATAAATTGTAGATGAGTTAATTGATGTAACGGTTTATGAAGAACACGAAATGAAAATAAAGTGATAACTCAAAAAAACATACTTGTAAATGTTACGAGTACAAAAACAGCCGTTAACCAGGCATAAATCAATCGATTCCAAATTATTACCATTATATCTTAGATGTACGCGTAACACAATACTGTATGAAATTTCCATTCAAAGAGTATGTTTTACATTCATAATGATTTCGCTGTAGAAGTCGTGATAACCGGGACGTCAAGTAATCTTTCTGACGTAAAAAGTTGTAATGGTGTCAAGAATTTCAACACATATAGTATTAGTACTGATTAATAATTAATGTTTTATTAACAATCATGTGTTTGTTAACAAAAACAATATTTTGTCTCTCAAGACGAATTTTTTAATGCCGTTTATTCACGTGGTTTTTATTAATTAATTTGATTTAATTAAATTCTACTGCAGCTCGTACCGAAAAACGGAAGTAGTGTCTTTCCGCATGTGTATTAAAATTTAATTCAAGTAGCAACGTCATCGATGATTCGTGTCGTGGCGTCTAATGACGCAAGCAATCTCGGCAATAGTAACTTCTGAATCCGTAGTCCTGTCGTAATTGGTCGAGCTATGAATTTTCTTTAACACAGGAGTCGGCAGTTGTCGAGTAGCGTATTCGCCAACGTATTGCAACGACAACAAATATGTGTTCGAAATTCTGTTCGCGAACCGTATAATTAGTCGCTCGATAACAAAGGTTTGACCGAGAATTAGCTTAGCAGATTGTATAAAATCCACTCGGGCACTTCGTGTAGCCTGATAGCCAGCATCGTTTATTTGCTAATTTCATCAGAGTGAATTTTGGGTAAAAATTTTATAGCTTTCTCGATGATGTTTGTATTTCAAGCTTGATCGGACATTGATGTTACAGAAGCAAGCATGCATCTTGAGTGATTCCTTAGCGTAAGAATTTCGCGTAAAACACGACATATAAAAGACAAGACAGGCAACGAGTGTTTGCAGAAGGCCGAATCAAATAAACTTTAACAAAACCTAAAGAAAATGAAAGAACGCCTGAGACGTATAGTTGCCAAAATGTCTCAAGAAGTTACTGTAAACATCGCATTGCTACTAGTACAACTCAAGGCATTGTAGCCTGTACTTAAGGTCTCAAAAATGTTAAAGTAAAAACCCTGTGTAAGACCTTAATGAATTATACACACTGATTTATATATAATTGATACTAATCTTGAAAGTGTTTAAAATAGACATTCTTTATATTGTATTGTAGTTTTTAAAAATTTAAATAATATTAGCCATTCTTTGCAAATATTTTAAAATCTTTACAGGAGCAAAGAATAATTCATATGTATGGAAAATTGTTGGTTTACAGGTAAGACGACTTTTTCTAGTCATTTATTTTACTGATTACATGACGTGAGTTACACATTGCAGAATCCGGATTATATGAGATTAGATGAAACGGAAACAAGAATCATCGGTGGACATTGCTTTCACGTTTTCGAATCTGTTCAACAAAAATTACAATTTAAGTAAATATAATAATGACAATAAATTTACAAAGTATTAGTAAAATGAATGAACACAGAGTAAATTTAATTAATTTCATTTACGTAGTTATTCTATTGTTAAACCAATACCTGAAAAGTTTGGACTTCGAAGTGAAAACGGTTCGTGGACAGGATTACAGGCAAAAATAGTAAATAAGGTAAGCGAAATTGAAATTAAACACATGCATACTTGTAAATATACTAGTTTGCAAAATATAAGCAAATGATTGTATTTACGCCGTAATTTTGTACGAAATCACCTGGAAGACATTAAGTTCACAATACACAAATAGTAATTTGTACTTAAAGGTTAAACACAGCATATTGGCGAAAATAAATTGAAGAAATACTGTATTGTATCAAAGACTTCTCACTTACTGCACCTGTTTTGCCCTCATGTCAGCTGTGATGTATTACGAATACGTCCTGCATACGAATAACTTTTCTGCTGAATTAGGTGTTAATATTACTGATCGCAACAAGCCCTTTTCTACAATTTTATAGCTGTCTGCTTAAACATTTCATTGTTGCTTAAGTTTTCTAGTGTGTATGACATGGCGTAAGTTCGCACGACATTAATATACATGAGCTTGCTTCTTTCAAATCAATATAGAAAACGCTCTTCGAATTAGAAACGAATATTTCAATAGGAAGAAGTTTATATGTACTTAGTTTTGTCTTTCAGCCCGTTAGATTTTAAATTCTGTTTTCGTATTTCATCTAACGTCAGTTTAAAAAATATAGACAGAAAAATGGATGGTATTAAAGTCGACAATTAAAATTTATACGTCAACAATGCTAATGACGATTCTAAGTTGGCAAGCGACATTTTGATCACGTTATTAAATAAAAAAATATTTTAAAAACTTGGCAAAAGTACATTACATCGATTTGTGTAATTCATTACTCGCTAAATACCAACAATTGGTCGGCTCATAAAGTTTTAAGTGTTGTTTCTTTTCCATGTGAGAAATAGAAATGAACAACTGTTTAACGTAAAACGTCCACCTATGACGGTTGCACTAGGCCTTTTTTCCTTCTATTGCATTATCTTATTTTATCAATAGAATAGAGTTAAACATTTTTTTAATTTAAATTTAGGAAGCTGACATGGCATTCGTTGCTTTATTCCTCGACGCTGACCGTTTTGCTGCGATGGAATTTACCTCCCCTTTGATGTTCCATCCTGTTGTATTTGTCATCAAGGGTGCAGAAAGAATTCCGAATTGGATTTCCATTATAAAACCTTTCGGTTTGGAAGTAAGTTATTATCATTTAGAGTTGACAACTGTTCAGAAATTCATTTGTTGTTTTAAAAAATTGTCCAAAAAACGAAAACTAATCGAAAATGTTCTGAAAATGAGAAAAATCTATTATATTCTGTTTTAGCTTTTTTGCATTTGCTTATGAACAATAGAATACTTTAATTAATTAAAAATTTTTAAAAAATACTCGATAAAACGAGCGAAATAACATCGTACGAACATCGGCGGTACTCGGAATTACAAGTGAGACATCAAACATTAAAGATTTTAAAATGAAATTGTTTCTGCACAACGATTGGTCGGTGAATTTGAAACATTTTTGACGTATTTCAATTTCTTCGAATAGCCAGCGATCGTGGGCGTATCTTTCTATTTCTCCGCCCAATAATTATAAAAATATATTTCGATTATTATCTTTTGTATATTACACAGAACCGCCTGTGTTTATTAATGATATTTTTTACTTAATTTGATCAATTTTAAAGGTGATTTTGTTTATAATTAAGCTTTATTTATTTTAAAAAAATGTATATAAAAACTTCACGACACTATATTAAACTTGGAAAACACTTAAATTTTCGAANTAAGTTAAAAATCAAGAGGTGTAAAGATGCCAAATGTATTATGGGTTAATGTATTATTATTATTATTATGTATTATGAGTTGCTAATCTTTTCCGACAACATTTATAACGCCATCTGTATCGATACGTTATGATTAAAAACTTTTAATTTCTTTTGATTAATTAATATAAGATGGCAAACAGCTTAATTTTGACGGTTTATAAAAATTTTCAAAAGTTATATAAAGATTGTAAATGCTATCTATACCAGTAACATCATCCAACCCTATTTGAAAGAGGATAAACAACACCCTCTTTTTCTCCACCCTGCGAACATATTTAACAACTAAAATTTAAAAACATCGATTCATCTAATAAACAAACATCCCTACAAAATACGCAGGAATTATTAAGCGTAAAATAAGTAAAAATAGCGCATTACATACAAAGTAACATATGTACATACAGAAAAACCTATTAATTAATTTATTTTCATTTCTCGACGTTCCAATGTCTCCTAAGACAAAAATTTAAAAATTTGTCGGGGGTGTCATTTTTTGACCGATTGCCACACTTTTTCCCTGTTATATATAGAAATAAATCAAAATGTATTCAACTAAATTTGTAAGAAGTTGTTTTCGGTTGCATATCAAAAGGGTGTTCTTCTACACACCGTTCAGACAAGATGGCCGTAATGGTGATAACTTGACTACGGCTGTGGGCAATCAAAGATGGTATAAGGCGATTCCGGGATATGTGGGCCTCGTATCTCGATATCTAGCTGTCTAATTTTAGACTCGATCGAATCCACGAAGACCCACCATAATTCCTATTAATGCTTGCGGAATGGAAATTGTAAAAGAAATCCGTTCGGAATTTGAAACTCTAAATATTGGCAACTCTACTTTTAAAAATGAATATTTATATTGATTACTTTTCAAAAAAATATTATTTTTGTAGATGTGGATCGCGATTGTCTTAACGGTATTCATATTTGGATTAGTATTGCATAAAGTGGTCGAAAGTGATTTCATGACTGACGAAGTGGAAATATTCTGGCCACGAAGCCGTGTGTTCTGGAATTTATTTGGCGCTTTTGTTTACCAAGGTAAACTGTCTTTTGCTCGCTATAACACATTTATATATTAATTGGTATTAATAAAGATATATTAATAAATAATATTTATATTTAGGAACGAATCTTAACAATGTGAAGCGATTCAGATCCAGGTTGCTGTTGTCAATATGGCTGCTGTCAGTTGTAGTGTCAATGGGTAGTTACAGTGGGACTTTAATGTCTTTCATGTCGTATCCTGTAACCGAAACTGTTCCAGAAAGTTTCCATGAATTGGCCATTGCTGTCAAAAATGGTGAATATACTTGTGGAATTGCAGAAAAATCAGCTATATGGAGTTTCATTAATGTAAGTGTACGACGGTGATATTACAACAGTTTTCTATTTAGATTATTTATTAGTTTTAACCTATAAGCAGAAAATACAAGGAACGTATCTTAAAAACTTATTTAATGCTGTGATGAGAGTACGTCAGACTAGTATTGATTTCGAGAGGGCTTTTTCTAATGCAGTTGCATTTGTATAGAAAGTTAGATCTAGATTAGACGACGGGAGCCTAAATGTATTACGGTTTCTTTTAGCCTACTTTCAATATAAAGAAAAACATAATTAATAATCAGCATTATTTCAATTTCTGTTATGTCATAATATTTGCTATTACAAGAATGTTGTTTGTCTAAACCAGGCCTAGCCAACCCGCGGTCTGGCACGTTAAATTGTGTTGCCCGATAAGCGATATTATATACAGTCGACCCCCCTTATAAGATCATTGATTTTTCCGTTTTATCTGAATTACATGTTGTACGAGTCACTTAGATTTTACAAATATGTGAGCCGTTCACAGGCCGGCACACGTATTTGTAAAATCTAAGTGACTCGTACAACATGTAATTCAGATAAAACGAAAAAATCAACGATCTTATAGGGGGGTCGACTGTATGTACTAAAACTTTCGTTTCCCGTTATGTGTATACCAAAACAATTAAATAAGTTAAAATTTGCATGTGTCATTGTGCATGTGTCATTGTTATAATGCTCAGGTGCGAGTACGAACTCTTGGTATAACAATAAAATCTTATTCATTTTGTATTCGTTTTACTTTTTTAAACGCACGATTGCCTAAATTGTGGCTCAATGTAATATTATGCTTGATCAAAGTAGCCCGTAAAACAATTCGGGTTGGCCAGGCCTTGTCTAAACTGATAAAAAACTTAAAAATAAATGGTTGTTTAGTAATACTGTCAGTAATTTACTTACGTTTTACATCATCTGTTAATGCGAATTTACCGATAAATTATTGATAAACCGGTAATTTTGAATATAATTACCGAATTACCGGTAATCTAATACTTGGAGAATTTGCGATCACTAGTATATACTCAAAAAAGAGTACAGTATTTAAATTACATCCTGCTTTTAGTAAATAATATAATTAATTATATAGATTAATCAACGTTCATTGGTTTTTTAAAATCTTTGCTATTAGCTATTTTAACATTTAGTGAATTTATTATATTTAAGAAAACTTTTGTAAAATCATGTCATAAACAAAGAACAATACTTTGACATACTAAACAGTCCAGAATGAAATGATAAAAAAGCGAAAACACTTTCCCGCAGAGATATTGATGTTACTTGTATTTCATCATTATATTCATGCGGTGAGTCTTGTAACTAGTAACAACAGATCCAAATTTCAATTATTCCAGATATAGTCCCAAATTTTTTTTCTCAAATCAAAAATATTTTTCATTATATTTTTTACAACTAAAAGATTTCCATCTATTTTTGGTACGTTAATATAAATACGTTTCCAATATGTAATAGGGAAGTTTCTTAGAGGTATGTTGTCTTCAGGTCGTTTAACTCATTTATGCGTTTCTTCTCTTTCAATTTGTATATAATGCTCGCTTTTGCATATAAAACTTACGCTTGTAGAGATAGATATTGCTGTTCTAGATAAAAAATAACGATGAAATAATTGATGGAACCGAATCAAATTATTTTAAGCCAAAAAGTAATCAATGCTCAAAATAAGATTTTTACACACAAACATGATAAGCCAACGACTAACGGATTACACAGAGGACATAATACCGACCCGGAGCAAAATTCGAACCCGCAACTGCACCTACGTAACTATGTTGCATAAGTCACAACACATCTTCACGGTAAGCGGCACTGGAGGATTTCAGTTCCTTTCAGAATTTTTTAAATTATTTAACTTAATTATAATTATCAATTCTAATAAAATATGGCGCCTAACGCCTACATACAGTGACGAATTATCCAGTAATTAATTTAAAATATTAGAGATGTCAGATGATTGTCATTCTTTTACGCCAAACTAAAATATGAGTAGCCATTTTGGCAGTCAAATCTGGTAACGTTCCTCTGTGCCCAAGTGGTAAAATTCGAGAAGTAAATATGACGTTCTATATTTACAGGAAAACTTTAATTATTTTTAGCTTGTATAACAAATATCGCAATTATATTTACAGTATTTTTAATTTATTGTTTTGTATATATTATTTATAGAATTCCAAAAGTGCAGTAGAAGGAGTGTTCAAAGATCACATCACTCGTAACAACAATTTCTTTACTTTGAAAACAGGAATGGAAAAAGTTAAGAAGGAACGTTTTGCTTTGATATATGGCGAGTATGGAATAAGAGAAATGATAAAAAATGACAAAGAGGCATACGTTGTTTCTGCAGATGCTCTCATTCACTTTATACAGCCTTATGCTGTAAGGAAAGGATTCCCGTTTAAGAAGGAATTAAGTAAGATGTAAGTGACTTTTGATGTAAGATGTGTTTATCTATATGATATTCTCTATAAAGAAGTAATTAAAAACATATTTCATTTTATAGTGTAATACGTTTATTTGACGCTGGAATTATCCAGAAGAAAGATTATTCGGAAACATCAAAGTTACTGGATTATTCAGAATTCAAAGCATTACAAGTGGCTGACATTATTAGTCCAATGATATTGCTTTTCATTGGATTGTTTTTAGCTTTAATGTGCCTATTTGCTGAACAAATCTATAAAGGAACAATTAAAAATTAACACGCAAAAAATTTTTAAATTCTTCTTCTCCTTGCTTAACAATTACTACAAATTTTTCGTGAAAATTGCCAATGTTGTACACACAATTCCTGTGTTTTTTGTTGTTCGTCATGGCTGAAATTTCATCTTATCCTATGAATCTACTTTGACAAGCCCTAAAATTTTTAGATTGTTAACACTGACCTGCTCGGGACTTCAAACAATCATAATCACTGGAACGAACTGAAATTTTATTTAACATCCGTCATTTTATACATATCGAGCATATTTTCAATTTTGGATCGTTGGTACAGAAAAAATGTGCCATTTCTTCATCAATTTGGATTTCAAGCTACACGGATACTTTGCCAAAGTCCTTGGTTTTAAAATTCCTTTTTAGACACTTGGATCTATTGTCAAAAATTGTTTCTTGTTAAAAATTCTAGATTTCTTGTTTTTTTTTCCGATGACTCCCTGCGATTGTACCATATATATTACTTTTTCCTAGCCGCCATTGAGGAAGGCTGAGCGTACATCGTGGTGTTTCACTTGTAGTTCTTAGTACGCACCAACAGCAAGCAGTATTCGAATGATTTCTTGTTTTGCGACATAGGTAAAAGTTTCGTCAATGTCTTGTCCATATTCCTGTTGAAAGACTCTAAGGTAAATCCTTGCTTTTTGATGGTTTATCCAGCCGCATAACGTTTCTTCTTGATTATTAATATTTGTGTAACTGTCTTGCATCTGGGCAGCAATTCGCTTAACGCCAAAACTTTCCGTTTTCAAATATTTTAAATTTTTCTTCAGATGCGGCAATCCATGTATTACGTTTACAAAATGGTAGGGACATTATATCTTTCTATGGAATAGATTTGTCTGGATACTCTCTTTTTTCTTTATATGATAGTTTATTGCGGGAATTGCCGACCTTTTTTCTGAGAACGGCATGGTACTTTTTCATATGTAGAAAAGGTTGCTTCTTCTGGCCTAACTTGTTCTCCTGCACAGATTATCTCAACGTCAGTTTTAGTTATATCTTCATTTAGATCAGTTTTCTCCACTGTCATTTTAGGTGTCACTTGAACTGGTCACTTGGAGGCAATTCCTTTAATTCTGATTTATCATTCTGACAGTACTGCTCATTAAAATGTTATTTGTTTTTGGATCTAAGATATAACAGCCTCTGGACACTTTGTGTAGGTCGACGAAAGCATCTTCTGTTGTCAGATTATTTCATTTCTTAATTAATTAATTAATTAATTAATTAATAGTTATTTGGGTACTTTGTCATATCATATTATTTCATGGAAAAAACAATATTGTAATAAAGTGTTGTTATTACGGTCATATAGCATGTTTTTCGCTTGTGTCGAACTGATCCCATGGTACCCAAGAATGTGATTATTTCATAGTACCAGAACAGATGAATTAACGTAGATCAAAGGATGATTAGTCCGAATAAACATTAAGACTACCCCAAACTCAGAGCGCAGTTTTTACAAAATTTAAAAGTAAAATGGTCCTGGAAATTCAAAAGTAAAATATTGATATTTCACTGACCATTTATAAAAGAAAATAGTGCCCTTTTTGCCTTAATGAAAATGTTTGTTAGAAGATTGCAGTGACAAAGCTCAACATCAACATTTCTAAATGAAAATCATATCATCATTTACTGGTACGGTACAATAGAAATATGAAGAGAATTTTATCTGTGGAGCAGTAAACCTGAGCAATTTTAACAAAACATTATTTCAAATACGAATAAATATAGTAATGATTTAAAATGAATATAATCACTTCCAACCTGTTACCACTAAGTTGATTATTCACAAAGTAATTGTACAGTACATACATTGTAACATCACAGGAACATGATCGACACAGCGAAGTCGACTTTTTTTAGGGTACTTTCTGCCTATAGTCAAGGAACATTTTACCAGAATACATAAAAATAAGCAGGAAAAGTAGCGTACAAAGAAAAGAAGACTACGCTGTGTGGTTCATGTTCCTGTGGTGTTAAAACAGGACGAATTAGAAGACAAGAATTCGTATTCGCATTGTGTGTAATACTTTGTATTTTTGCAATAAATTTTTATAATTATATTACGTCCTGGATTTTTAGAATTTTTTCACATAATTATATCAGTTTATGTTTCCGACTATTCTCATGTTTAGAGACATAAAAAATTGTTCATTCTTAGATAATAATAAAAGCATTATATTATTGCTGTCCATTGTTGTTTCCATTTTAGAAAAAATTTCAATACTTCATTAATAAAACTAAATTTATGGTATTTTTAATCAAACTAAATTAACTGGAATCATAAATGGTAAGTAAAATGTTTATTTCGTAAAATAAATTATTAATTTGGCTAAATGTTTTATTAAAAATTCAATAAACGATAGAAACTTTCAATTTTAATTTCGTCTAGAAGATAGTACAAATATTATAGATTTAACAGATTTTAACATATCACAGTAATTTACATTTCTATAAATAGTTTCTATTTAATTTAATTATTTTTACTCAATGATTGTTTTTAAAAGGACGGAACACACGAATGCACAATATGCAGGAAAAACTGTCAGTGTGAATATGATTTACGAATTCACATAAGGACTCACACTGGTGAAAAGCCGTTTAAATGCAAATTGTGTAAAAAGAAATTTTCGACTAAAAGCAATTTAACACAGCACATGATAGTGCATTCGGATGAAAGACCATTCAAGTGCAATCTGAAAGGCTGTGAAAAATGTTTTAAACGAAAACGTGACTTGGAACAACACGTGTACTCACATGGTGAAGAGTTTTTATCTAAAGTAAATATTACAGCAAATCTGTGTATTTTTTATACATACATTTCGATAGTTAAAATGATAAATTTTATAAAATACAGTCGAACCCCCTATAACACTGTTGATTTTTCCGTTTTATATGAATTCTATGTTGTACGAGTCACTTAGATTTTACAAATACGTGTGCCTGGTTGTGAACGGCTCACGTATTTGTAAAATCTAAGTGACTCGTACAACATGGAATTCATATAAAACGGAAAAATCAACAGTGTTATGGGAGTCAACTGTATACACATACGCTATAATTTTATCTGAATATATAAAGCATTTTAGAAATAACAATCAATGAAACCGTTTTAAGTTACTGAAACTGAGAGTAAAATAATAATAATAACGACAATAAATAATCATGATTATTATTATTTTGATAGCAGAAATTTTACCTTTCTTTTCGTTACTAGTTTTGAAATTTATTCCGAGATTGTGAATTAACTTTATTTATTTTCATTTTTCTTAAAAACTACTCTCTCGATTCATTGTGTGGCAATTAATAATAGAAAACAGAATATTGAGCAGAATGAAAAAGACTTTGAAAAACTGTTGTACGACTGTGGTCAATTACAAATATCAATCATGAGAAACTCTACACAAGAAACTGTGAAAAATTCTCATCAGCTACATTTCACTTTCTCGGTGTTATATATGTTAGGCTCAAAGACCGAAATCGCTCAGTGAGCGAAAAAAAGGCCAGAACTCGTTGTGGTCGTTTCAAAACGGCCTCGAAGCGAAATTCGTGTCGTGGCTTTCATAGTATTTGACAACGATGTCTTCTGGTTAGGTTAAGTTAGCTTAGGTTACTTGGTTACTTTTCTACAACATGTAATCATTTGTGAAAATCTGTTGCGGTGTTCGATATGTCAACGTTTTCTAACAACTAATTTACTAAAAGTAATTTCTCTGTCAGGCCGTTTTATTAATAAATCAGTTTTTTTTTTAATGAGAACAATAATGTTTGAATTTTTTATTTTCACAAGAACTATTACCGTAACATTTCGACTTGCATTTTATTTTCCTTAAGCGACATTTGCATTTTTTTATCAATGTAGTATCTTTTACAGCAATGTTTCTCAATATCTAACGAATCATCGCCTTTTCAATAAAACCGTTACGTGATATCGCCCCTTCACTTCGAAAAAAATTTTGTTGGGTTTATTAGTTTATTGATAATTATATACTTTGTAAAAAATTAAACATCTATGTACTAGTACAATGTTATTTTTTTAATTGTGATTCCATATAACAAATAAAATATGTAATTATTCTTAATGCAATGTTTTACTATATCGCCCAGAAAATTGTTTTTCGCTCCCCAAAATACAAATTGTTACTAATCGCTCTCCAACATGAATAAACGCCCATATGGAACGTTATCGCCCTCGTTGCAAAACAATGTTTTACAGTGACACATTATAAATCATTGTTTACTTTCAGATGACAATGTGGATGCTGAGCAAAGTGTGAAGTTAAAGGCTCGTCCTGAATGTTAATAAAGTTACTCTCAGAAATTCTAAATTCATTAACCAAAACGCGTCATGGTCAAATATCATGAAAGCCTCGATACGAATTTCGCTTCGTGGCCGTTTTTTTCGCTCAATGAGCGATTTCGGTCTATGAGCTTAACAAATATCATACAAAAAAAGTATAGCGATCAGTCAAAAAGTGACCCATAAAGACTTTTACATTTTGGACTCAAAGAGCTTTAAAATGTCGAGAAATGCAAAAAATTCAGGGGCAATTTTTATACGAATGGATGTTAGCGTGTGTGGCATGGTTGTGTTGACACTGTTTGAAGCTGAATAACTTTTGTGTTTTTTGTCGAAATTTTCTAAAATTTGCATGGATGTTTGTATATTAGGAAATTGATGCTATTAAATTTTGGTAATTAGAGATCGAAAAAATGGGGAGATAAACTGAGTCGTGTGTCATATCTCGAGTAGAGTCAGACTTAATGAAGATTTTACTACTTATCAGCATTTACAGTTTTTTTATAATACTCATCCAATAGCTTCTATCGCTGACAATTCTTTATTTAATTAAACACAAACGTTTTCAACCTACAGGAATTAGCCATGTTCGGTGTACAGGCATTTGTAAAAATATTTGTTTTAATTTTTCTTTTATGTAGAATTTTTATGCAGAAGCTAATCATCCGCACCATTTGCATTAATACAATTATTCCTTATTTACTTTTATAGATTTCAATATTTTGTTCTTTCAAAGCTAATGATGGATACTGCTGGTCTTGAGTATAGTTTTTTCACTTTATTTAATAACAGAGTCTTCCGCTTGTGCCATACTTGACAAAACTTTACAGTACCATTTTATTAATGTCATACTTTTGTTCCTTAAGTCTGAGAGCTAAATTTCTTCTTGTGACTCCAATGTAGTTTATCTTAATTCCTAATCGCTGATTTTCAAATGGAATTCCATATACGGCCGGTTTTTCTTTTTTCTTAAGCATGTCTTTATCATTTCTGAGAATAGTACACAAATTAGGAGCTCTTTTGTAAACTATTTTGAGAGTATTTATTGACCGATACTTGTTTCACGATGTCCTTGATGTTTTTATTAAAAGTGAACTTGACGATTTTAAACTGATTTGTTTGCGTTTTTAAATAAAAAATTCTCAGCCATAAAAGGTGTTGAATGTTTATTAAGTATTTTTTAAAAGCTGAGATTGATATTTAGTTAGTATTTTTTTATTTTAAAATAGTTAAAAAGTATAAAAATATATTTCTAATAGAAACTTACAACAGATGAGGCCACCGAATGACGCCAGAAATATTGAACAACCCGTTGCTAAATAATTTAGGAGAGACCGGGGCAAGATCGGCATGTTAAGCTTTACTTAAATTTTGTGTAATAAATACTGCTGTAAACTGAAAAAAAAATCTTTGCATATTGTCTATTGGAATGTTACCTTACTATAGAACTGGTTAAAATCAGTTTGGAAATAAAAATAATTAAAATAATTACAACNAACGTTTTCAACCTACAGGAATTAGCCATGTTCGGTGTACACGCATTTGTAAGAATATTTGTTTTAATTTTTTTTTATGTAGAATTTTTATGCAGAAGCTAATCTTCTGCATCCTTTGCATTAATACAATTACTTTTATAGATTTCAATATATTCTTCTTTCAAAGCTAATGATGGGTAAAGCTGGTCTTGAGTATAGTTGCTTCACTTTATTTAACAACAGAGTCTACCGCTTCTGCCATACTTGACAAAACTGCGTTGCAGTACCTTTTATTAATGTCATACTTTCGTTTCTTAAGTCTAAGAGCTAAATTTCTGCTTGTGACTCCAATGTAGTTTATCTTAATTCCTAATCGCTGATTTTCAAATGGAATTCTATATACGGCCAGTTTTTCTTTTTTCTTTTTTCTTTAGCATGTCTTTATCATTTCTCAGAATAGTACACAAATAAGAAGCTCTTTTGTTTTATTAAGTATTTTTTAAAAGCTGAGATTGATATTTTTTTTTATTTTGTTTTGTTATAAAATAGTTAAAACTATAAAAAAATTTGTAATAGAAACTTACAACAGACTGCGCCACCCAATGATGCCAGAAATATTAAACAACTCGTTGCTGGGTTATTTATATAATCAATTCCATAAAAATATTTTTAGTAAAACTTGAACTGAATAATTTTATTTTTAATTTTAAGATGAAGACACTAAAAAAAATTGTAGAAATTCGTGATTCGGAACTTTATTTTTATTAATTATTCACAAAAATTACTTACAATTATAGAGTTACGTGATTGAATGTATTGTGATTAATTAACTCTTAAATTATTGGATAATTAGATTTCAGCGAATGATCCGAAGATCAAAAGCCGTAAATGCCCTATTTGCCCAAAACTTTTCTTATCTCCACTTACTTTAAGAGCTCACATTAGAACTCACACCAGGGAACTACCATACTCATGTAACATTTGTAACAAAAGCTTCAGTCATAAACAAAATTTAAAAGCACATAAACGAAGGAAGCATCCGAAAGAGGAAACTCCATCTTTCTTCGAGGTAAGTGTAGAAATATTTCTCGCAAAGAATTTTTAACAAATATTTGATTATTAAAGTAATGAAATAATGTCACTTATTTATTGTTATAATTTATATGTATGCTACAGCCAAATTATTAGTTTAGTTGGTTTTCAAGGTCTAGGTTCCTTATAAGAAAGCTAACTAGGGTTCATACACTATACAAAGAGGATAAATCAAACTCCCACTTAATTCAATGAGATTTTACGTTCTGCAATACGACTGGTCAAACTATTAGGCGCTTTATAATGCGCTGTTAGATAAACCGTCAGATTATCACAGTTACTTCTGATTCTTACTACTTGAGGCACCAAGAGACAGTCACCAATATGGCGTCGTTTAGTATGTTTATTCCTCTAGAAATATTGAATATTATAACAAATAATGAAGTGTGCAAAATGTGTCTAAATATAATAAATTAAAGATAATTTCAACAAACCACTAATGGAGTTCTAAGAAAAACAGTACGGAATTTGAAGTAACTATGGATTAGAGAAACAAGATTTAGATTATTTTACATATTAAAAATAGTAAAATAGCCGTAGATTCCGTACAGGTCGGACATCACTCGAGTAGTGTGGGGAAGACCCGATATATTAAGACAGACTTCAATAAAACTTCTTCCGGCTGTTCGTTAGAATTAGATGCGGGATCCCCAAGAGTTGTAGGTTATCAAAGTAATCTCCTCGGTCATTCAGTTATCTTGTAGCAAAAATTACTATTAATAGCATACTACATAACAGTTTATTTGGTTTTACTGTACATAAAAATGAGAAAATTTATTTCAAAATACTGTATTAAAAACTTTTTAGAATTAATTAGTAGTCAGCTCAATGATAGAACGAATACTTTTAAAAATATTCTATTTTTTCCACAGGAAAATAAGGTTGCTAAAAATCATGATTTCAGTGAACAGCGCGATATTTCTTCACAAACTAGTCAATACGAGCGTCACAGCCCTGGCTCTGAAAGACAAGTAATCAGTGATGACTACACTGACATATACGAGGAATGGATCGCCCAACATCAGATCAAATCTAAACTTCCCGTTCTAAAAATTACAGTAGAAGATTTTTGTAGTAAATTCACTTCTATACAAGGAGGATACAACCATGAATCTGAAAAAGAAACAACAAAAGAAAATGATCCTTCTGATATATACGAAGAATGGATTGCAGAACATTCAATTACGGCCGAAATTCCCGTCTTAGATCTCACAGAAGAAGACTTTTTTATAGAGAATCCAGCAATACAAAACATAGAAAATATCCATATTTTTGAAACAAGAAAAGACGATGATTCTCTTGCACAGCAGAATGATATCACATAACTACTGCCTGAGAACATTCCGTCCTAGATATCAGAGAACACTTGGAAAAAGAATTGCTTTTAGAGGAGCTTTGTAAGCTTTTCGATTGAATACATAAAGAATTGCAACAATTTTCTTCATTAAAAATTTAATAAAGAAATTACAATAAATTAATAAAATTCCTGTTAGTAATAAAAAGTAAAAAAAAATAATAAATTGCAATTATCGTTAATTTTACGAGTAAAATTATTTTATTTTTGTATTTTAAATTAGAAAACATTTAACGATAAGTACGCATTCACAGCTAAAAGTAAAATTGTACTACGCTTAAAAGAAATTACTTCAGAATAATAATATTAAATGTATAATTCAAACAAGTTACATTTATTGTACTATAAAACAAAGAAAAGCAAACTAATATTTACATTTTTAATGTGTTCAAATGGGTAATCAATGACAGTGTAAATTATTCTACAAAAACTCTATATCAACCAGCTGATGTCTCCAACTAAATATATTAACAATTACTGCATAAAACCAGGGTCAGTGCCTGGGGTGAGGCATTGAGACAATGATACCAGGTAAGAGAAGCGGTTCCTCAACGTCAAGCAAACCAATGCGATTTTTTCAGTTCTCAGTTGCATTTTGTTTATTAGTAGGTCAGGTAACTTGTGACTTTTTTAAACTTCGTAAAAGCTTTTCATCTCTTCTTAGTATGTCGATATTGATCAGTTATGGCTGTATTTTTATGGGTTATTTATTCATAATATATTTAAATAGAACGGATCAGAACATGATACCGAGTAAAGCAAGGATAGTGCAATAAAGAGAAGAAATATAGGTACAGATGTAAATGGTACTTCTGTTACGAAAATTCTGTTGATTCCGCGAATTGGTGATATATAGGTGATTCGAAAAGTCAACTTATTATACAAAAGAAATCCAATACAATTTATCGTAATTGTATGTCTATAATATATTAGTAATAGACGTTCTCCTGCTTTTTTAAAAAGACACGGAATGCTTCCAAAATCGGATAGAGCTAGACAATTTGTCTAGAGAGCCTTCGAACCTTTTCCCCTATTAGAAAAAAGTTCGAAAAACCACTGTGCATTTATTAATTGACGATTGTAAAATATTATAGCATTACTTTTGACTGTACTGCTGATACCAGCAGAATCGAAATTTCTCTGGTTATTCAGTTTCGAAGAAGCACGATTCCGAATAAGTTACAAAAAAAAAAATATTACACAATAACAAAAGGTTATTATTTCTACTAACTTGAAAAATTATAATTATTTTGTATATAAATTAAAGTTGAACTTAGCCTGAGATTTCGAATTTCAAGAGTGAAGTTCTTAAAGATTTTATCCTTAATTTTGTTCACTTTCAGAAATGACACATCTTTTGGAGATGACTACTCATACTCATACAGGAGAAAAATTTTCGTGTGTATCACCTTTATCTTTGCATGGAGCCTAGAACCGTCTTCCGAGTGACGAGAACGTTCGCCATTGAATTGTGTAGTAAAAAACTAAGCGAGCATTTTATGAGATTGATCACATGAGAAGACGTTTACTCTTTGCGGACCGATAGTAACCTTTCTCTTGCTATTCGCATTTAATTAAACTAATTGATAGATAAGTGTATTCATTAGTTACTATCAACGTATTTTTAGTGAGAAACATTAATAAATTGTGTTTTTCCTTTATATTTCTCGTTAGTTGAGTGAATCACTTTTGCGTTGTTCGTCTCTCACTTTTTTCCGTTTTGTTAAGGTTGCAATCGTAGCTACAGAAAGATCATTTGAAACAACACTTGTTTTCTTGACAGTCTGAAAAAATTGATAAACTAAATAAACCGGGAAACAAAAATCAAGTTTAGATAATATTTTAGATTGCGTAAATTTGTAATTTTTAAAATTCTTGGTATTTTAAACCTTTTTTTTATATATAAGTAATGTACAAAATTTGTAATAAAATTATTTGAAAAAATTTAAAATTCAGAGATTTTTTTCTAATTAAGATGGTTAAAAATCTTGAATAAGAAATTCTTGTCTAATTTGTGATATTGGCATATTAAATTTCATTTTGCATAATCAATATGTTGTGTATTAATGAATCGACAAATTTGTAATGTTTCCATACAATAACTTAATTTAACTTATATGCGAATTCCGAACTGAATGTGTTACATAAATCGTTTCGCTGACTGATAATATTCCAGTAATATAATTTTTAAAATGACAAATAGTAAGTTTTACTATTGTTGAAAACAAGAGAGTTTCCCAGTTGACAGAGAGTTGCCTATTGCTCCAATGAAACAAACAATTCTTTTATATTATTTGTTTATTTGTCTACATTATCTGAATTAATTACAAATTTAAATTGAGTACGTACACCAAATAATTGTAAATTTTCGTTTGTTTTTGTATATAAAATGTATACGTATAGATAAGACAATGTTCTAGCGTTCTGGTGTCATGAAATGAATAAAGCTTCAGCAGAGTAACAGGAGACCTTTTTTGTTACTTTATTTGTTACTTTGTTGCTAGCGTAACCTTTTTTTTGTTACTTTATACTAAGTTAGCCAAGATAGAAAGCTTACATTCTTTTGCGTCAGGGTGAATATCTTGATTGGTCAAATCGGCTTGATCAAAATCTTGATGCCGTGAATTAGCTGAATAAATAGATGGAAACTTTTCAGCTTGGTTGGATAATTCTTGATAGTACAGTTTTTTCTTTGGATTTCCATGGCAAAGAATGGTTGAAAAAGATCGACGATGGAATACTCACACAGAAAACAAGAAAATCGGCAAACTCTCGGTGTCGGTTCCAATGTTTTTTATTTTAGTTTCAGAAATTCTTCCCCTTTATTTCGATGCTTTTTTTTTAGTAATGTTGAGTTTTTTCTTATCAATAAGTAAATTTCGGATGAACGTTTTTCGTGACACATACAATCTGATGTATCACTTTGGAAAAAGCAAGGAGTTCTAAGGAATGATGCGATCACATCCTTCCAGATTTTTTTTTGGTGTTTGAAAAATTCTTTTTGTAGAATATGTGAGATTTAACCGTTATTCTAAACAAATTTAATGCACTTTGTTGCAGTTAAATAAAATGTTACATTTCATCTTACCTCTGACACAAAATATTACAGATTTAAATTGAGTAGAAAAGTGAATTTCAGTACCTTTTCCAAAGCCTATTGAAGTTTTTCTATGAAAGTTCGATTCATATTTTCTCAAAAATTATAAGAAATGTAGCTATTCCAGCTCTAATAGTAACATTTTGCTGTCAAATATTATATATTAGGACACTTATGTTTCGTCGCGAGTCAAAATCAATTACTCTCCCATAATTACAATATTATTTAAAAATAAAGAAAATTTTGGGGTCATTCTACAGTAACAGTTATTTGGCATTTCAATAGCCCGATCAGTAATATTAGTTTATATTTATTCGAATTAACTTCGATGTCGCTATTACAATACGTATCATATTCAGCTGCTCTGATAGAATTATTTTTTGGACTTTTATATTTTCGAATAACTTTTCTAAAACATACAAATTCTAAAAAATAAAATGTTTATTTATTGTTACATTTCATATAATCACATCTTATAAAATATTTGTTGAATATCGGTAATGTTATTTTATCGTTTATTATAAAAGGATTTCATTTATAAGTTTTTATTATTTGGCAATTTTAACGATGCTGCTTTATTACATGTCTGTTTTAAACACAAATAAATTTTACTACAAACGTTATGTATTACATGAGTTTCTTTTTTTCTATACTGTACTATTAAAAAGTTCTATTTCGAAGCTGCTGATGATAATATCAAAATATCTGCAAGAATTAAAAGTAGACACTGAAATGACTGAATGATAAGTCATCTGTTCCATTATCTAAAATAAATTTTTTTATCGTAAAATGGAAAAAATAAATTTAATTTTGTAGATATGTCATTACTAATCGATTTCTGCTTTTAATTTTGTATTGTGATTTTTAAGTACTTCAGTATGAAATGAAACATGTTTACATTTATAATGAATAAATGTTTTTATAACAGATTTTTTTATTTTCTTAACAGGTATTTATATTTCGTATACAAAAAAATATGAGAATACATTTTCAGTTTTAGAGAGCAAAATAAAATAATCTGTTTGGACAGAGTTTCATCACTAAAATATCCTAATTTATTTTCGCTTGTTTCGATGTTTATAACGATTTAAAATCGTTATAAACATCGTTTGTAAAAATATGATGTTCTAAAAAATCTGTATTGGTATGTACAGTACTATATATCCGTTTTTGCCATATCTGTTTTAAATATTTTATAAAATGTATATGTAATTNTGGATGTTTGTGTATTAGGAAATTGATGCTATTAAATTTTGGTAATTAGAGATCGAAAAAATGGACAGATAAACTGAGTCGTGTGTCATATCTCGAGAAGATTTTACTTAATGAAGATTTTACTACTTATCAGCATTTACAGTTTTTTTTATAATACTCATCCAATAGCTTCTATCGCTGACAATTCTTTATTTAATTAAACACTAACGTTTTCAACCTACAGGAATTAGCCATGTTCGGTGTACACGCATTTGTAAGAATATTTGTTTTAATTTTTTTTTATGTAGAATTTTTATGCAGAAGCTAATCTTCTGCATCCTTTGCATTAATACAATTACTTTTATAGATTTCAATATATTCTTCTTTCAAAGCTAATGATGGGTAAAGCTGGTCTTGAGTATAGTTGCTTCACTTTATTTAACAACAGAGTCTACCGCTTCTGCCATACTTGACAAAACTGCGTTGCAGTACCTTTTATTAATGTCATACTTTCGTTTCTTAAGTCTAAGAGCTAAATTTCTGCTTGTGACTCCAATGTAGTTTATCTTAATTCCTAATCGCTGATTTTCAAATGGAATTCTATATACGGCCAGTTTTTCTTTTTTCTTTTTTCTTTAGCATGTCTTTATCATTTCTCAGAATAGTACACAAATAAGAAGCTCTTTTGTTTTATTAAGTATTTTTTAAAAGCTGAGATTGATATTTTTTTTTATTTTGTTTTGTTATAAAATAGTTAAAACTATAAAAAAATTTGTAATAGAAACTTACAACAGACTGCGCCACCCAATGATGCCAGAAATATTAAACAACTCGTTGCTGGGTTATTTATATAATCAATTCCATAAAAATATTTTTAGTAAAACTTGAACTGAATAATTTTATTTTTAATTTTAAGATGAAGACACTAAAAAAAATTGTAGAAATTCGTGATTCGGAACTTTATTTTTATTAATTATTCACAAAAATTACTTACAATTATAGAGTTACGTGATTGAATGTATTGTGATTAATTAACTCTTAAATTATTGGATAATTAGATTTCAGCGAATGATCCGAAGATCAAAAGCCGTAAATGCCCTATTTGCCCAAAACTTTTCTTATCTCCACTTACTTTAAGAGCTCACATTAGAACTCACACCAGGGAACTACCAAACTCATGTAACATTTGTAACAAAAGCTTCAGTCATAAACAAAATTTAAAAGCACATAAACGAAGGAAGCATCCGAAAGAGGAAACTCCATCTTTCTTCGAGGTAAGTGTAGAGATATTTTTCGCAAAGAATTTTTAACAAATCTTTGATTATTAAAATAATGAAATAATGTCACTTATTTATTATTATAATTTATATATATGTTACAGACAAATTATTAGTTTAGTTGGTTTTCAAGGTCTATGTTTTTTATAAGAAAGCTAACTAGGGTTCATACACTATACATGAAGAATAAATCAAACTCCCACTTAATTCAATGAGATTTCACGTTCCGCAATACGACTGGTCAAACAATTAGGCGCTTTATAATGCGCTGTTAGATAAACCGTCAGATTATCACAGTTACTTCTGATTCTTACTACTTGAGGCACCAAGAGACAGTCACCAATATGGCGTCGTTTAGTATGTTTATTCCTCTAGAAATATTGAATATTATAACAAATAATGAAGTGTGCAAAATGTGTCTAAATATAATAAATTAAAGATAATTTCAACAAACCACTAATGGAGTTCTAAGAAAAACAGTACGGAATTTGAAGTAACTATGGATTAGAGAAACAAGATTTAGATTATTTTACATATTAAAAATAGTAAAATAGCCGTAGATTCCGTACAGGTCGGACATCACTCGAGTAGTGTGGGGAAGACCCGATATATTAAGACAGACTTCAATAAAACTTCTTCCGGCTGTTCGTTACAATTAGATGCGGGATCCCCAAGAGTTGTAGGTTATCAAAGTAACCTCCTCGGTCATTCAGTTATCTTGTAGCAAAAATTACTATTAATAGCATACTACATAACAGTTTATTTGGTTTTACTGTACATAAAAATGAGAAAATTTATTTCAAAATACTGTATTAAAAACTTTTTAGAATTAATTAGTAGTCAGCTCAATGATAGAACGAATACTTTTAAAAATATTCTATTTTTTCCACAGGAAAATAAGGTTGCTAAAAATCATGATTTCAGTGAACAGCGCGATATTTCTTCACAAACTAGTCAATACGAGCGTCACAGCCCTGGCTCTGAAAGACAAGTAATCAGTGATGACTACACTGACATATACGAGGAATGGATCGCCCAACATCAGATCAAATCTAAACTTCCCGTTCTAAAAATTACAGAAGAAGATTTTTGTAGTGAATTCACTTCTATACAAGGAGGATACAACCATGAATCTGAAAAAGAAACAACAAAAGAAAATGATCCTTCTGATATATACGAAGAATGGATTGCAGAACATTCAATTACGGCCGAAATTCCCGTCTTAGATCTCACAGAAGAAGACTTTTTTATAGAGAATCCAGCAATACAAAACATAGAAAATATCCATATTTTTGAAACAAGAAAAGACGATGATTCTCTTGCACAGCAGAATGATATCACATAACTACTGCCTGAGAACATTCCGTCCTAGATATCAGAGAACACTTGGAAAAAGAATTGCTTTTAGAGGAGCTTTGTAAGCTTTTCGATTGAATACATAAAGAATTGCAACAATTTTCTTCATTAAAAATTTAATAAAGAAATTACAATAAATTAATAAAATTCCTGTTAGTAATAAAAAGTAAAAAAAAATAATAAATTGCAATTATCGTTAATTTTACGAGTAAAATTATTTTATTTTTGTATTTTAAATTAGAAAACATTTAACGATAAGTACGCATTCACAGCTAAAAGTAAAATTGTACTACGCTTAAAAGAAATTACTTCAGAATAATAATATTAAATGTATAATTCAAACAAGTTACATTTATTGTACTATAAAACAAAGAAAAGCAAACTAATATTTACATTTTTAATGTGTTCAAATGGGTAATCAATGACAGTGTAAATTATTCTACAAAAACTCTATATCAACCAGCTGATGTCTCCAACTAAATATTTTAACAATTACTGCATAAAACCAGGGTCAGTGCCTGGGGTGAGGCATTGAGACAATGATACCAGGTAAGAGAAGCGGTTCCTCAACGTCAAGCAAACCAATGCGATTTTTTCAGTTCTCAGTTGCATTTTGTTTATTAGTAGGTCAGGTAACTTGTGACTTTTTTAAACTTCGTAAAAGCTTTTCATCTCTTCTTAGTATGTCGATATTGATCAGTTATGGCTGTATTTTTATGGGTTATTTATTCATAATATATTTAAATAGAACGGATCAGAACATGATACCGAGTAAAGCAAGGATAGTGCAATAAAGAGAAGAAATATAGGTACAGATGTAAATGGTACTTCTGTTACGAAAATTCTGTTGATTCCGCGAATTGGTGATATATAGGTGATTCGAAAAGTCAACTTATTATACAAAAGAAATCCAATACAATTTATCGTAATTGTATGTCTAAAATATATTAGTAATAGACGTTCTCCTGCTTTTTTAAAAAGACACGGAATGCTTCCAAAATCGGATAGAGCTAGACAATTTGTCTAGAGAGCCTTCGAACCTTTTCCCCTATTAGAAAAAAGTTCGAAAAACCACTGTGCATTTATTAATTGACGATTGTAAAATATTATAGCATTACTTTTGACTGTACTGCTGATACCAGCAGAATCGAAATTTCTCTGGTTATTCAGTTTCGAAGAAGCACGATTCCGAATAAGTTACAAAAAAAAATATTACACAATAACAAAAGGTTACTATTTTTACTAACTTGAAAAATTATAATTATTTCATATATAAATTAAAGTTGAACTTAGCCTGAGATTTCGAATTTCAAGAGTGAAGTTCTTAAAGATTTTATCCTTAATTTTGTTCACTTTCAGAAATGACACATCTTTTGGAGATGACTACTCATACTCATACAGGAGAAAAATTTTCGTGTGTATCACCTTTATCTTTGCATGGAGCCTAGAACCGTCTTCCGAGTGACGAGAACGTTCGCCATTGAATTGTGTAGTAAAAAACTAAGCGAGCATTTTATGAGATTGATCACATGAGAAGACGTTTACTCTTTGCGGACCGATAGTAACCTTTCTCTTGCTATTCGCATTTAATTAAACTAATTGATAGATAAGTGTATTCATTAGTTACTATCAACGTATTTTTAGTGAGAAACATTAATAAATTGTGTTTTTCCTTTATATTTCTCGTTAGTTGAGTGAATCACTTTTGCGTTGTTCGTCTCTCACTTTTTTCCGTTTTGTTAAGGTTGCAATCGTAGCTACAGAAAGATCATTTGAAACAACACTTGTTTTCTTGACAGTCTGAAAAAATTGATAAACTAAATAAACCGGGAAACAAAAATCAAGTTTAGATAATATTTTAGATTGCGTAAATTTGTAATTTTTAAAATTCTTGGTATTTTAAACCTTTTTTTTATATATAAGTAATGTACAAAATTTGTAATAAAATTATTTGAAAAAATTTAAAATTCAGAGATTTTTTTCTAATTAAGATGGTTAAAAATCTTGAATAAGAAATTCTTGTCTAATTTGTGATATTGGCATATTAAATTTCATTTTGCATAATCAATATGTTGTGTATTAATGAATCGACAAATTTGTAATGTTTCCATACAATAACTTAATTTAACTTATATGCGAATTCCGAACTGAATGTGTTACATAAATCGTTTCGCTGACTGATAATATTCCAGTAATATAATTTTTAAAATGACAAATAGTAAGTTTTACTATTGTTGAAAACAAGAGAGTTTCCCAGTTGACAGAGAGTTGCCTATTGCTCCAATGAAACAAACAATTCTTTTATATTATTTGTTTATTTGTCTACATTATCTGAATTAATTACAAATTTAAATTGAGTACGTACACCAAATAATTGTAAATTTTCGTTTGTTTTTGTATATAAAATGTATACGTATAGATAAGACAATGTTCTAGCGTTCTGGTGTCATGAAATGAATAAAGCTTCAGCAGAGTAACAGGAGACCTTTTTTGTTACTTTATTTGTTACTTTGTTGCTAGCGTAACCTTTTTTTTGTTACTTTATACTAAGTTAGCCAAGATAGAAAGCTTACATTCTTTTGCGTCAGGGTGAATATCTTGATTGGTCAAATCGGCTTGATCAAAATCTTGATGCCGTGAATTAGCTGAATAAATAGATGGAAACTTTTCAGCTTGGTTGGATAATTCTTGATAGTACAGTTTTTTCTTTGGATTTCCATGGCAAAGAATGGTTGAAAAAGATCGACGATGGAATACTCACACAGAAAACAAGAAAATCGGCAAACTCTCGGTGTCGGTTCCAATGTTTTTTATTTTAGTTTCAGAAATTCTTCCCCTTTATTTCGATGCTTTTTTTTTAGTAATGTTGAGTTTTTTCTTATCAATAAGTAAATTTCGGATGAACGTTTTTCGTGACACATACAATCTGATGTATCACTTTGGAAAAAGCAAGGAGTTCTAAGGAATGATGCGATCACATCCTTCCAGATTTTTTTTTGGTGTTTGAAAAATTCTTTTTGTAGAATATGTGAGATTTAACCGTTATTCTAAACAAATTTAATGCACTTTGTTGCAGTTAAATAAAATGTTACATTTCATCTTACCTCTGACACAAAATATTACAGATTTAAATTGAGTAGAAAAGTGAATTTCAGTACCTTTTCCAAAGCCTATTGAAGTTTTTCTATAAAAGTTCGATTCATATTTTCTCAAAAATTATAAGAAATGTAGCTATTCCAGCTCTAATAGTAACATTTTGCTGTCAAATATTATATATTAGGACACTTATGTTTCGTCGCGAGTCAAAATCAATTACTCTCCCATAATTACAATATTATTTAAAAATAAAGAAAATTTTGGGGTCATTCTACAGTAACAGTTATTTGGCATTTCAATAGCCCGATCAGTAATATTAGTTTATATTTATTCGAATTAACTTCGATGTCGCTATTACAATACGTATCATATTCAGCTGCTCTGATAGAATTATTTTTTGGACTTTTATATTTTCGAATAACTTTTCTAAAACATACAAATTCTAAAAAATAAAATGTTTATTTATTGTTACATTTCATATAATCACATCTTATAAAATATTTGTTGAATATCGGTAATGTTATTTTATCGTTTATTATAAAAGGATTTCATTTATAAGTTTTTATTATTTGGCAATTTTAACGATGCTGCTTTATTACATGTCTGTTTTAAACACAAATAAATTTTACTACAAACGTTATGTATTACATTAGTTTCTTTTTTTTATACTGTACTATTAAAAAGTTCTATTTCGAAGCTGCTGATGATAATATCAAAATATCTGCAAGAATTAAAAGTAGACACTGAAATGACTGAATGATAAGTCATCTGTTCCATTATCTAAAATAAATTTTTTTATCGTAAAATGGAAAAAATAAATTTAATTTTGTAGATATGTCATTACTACTCGATTTCTGCTTTTAATTTTGTATTGTGATTTTTAAGTACTTCAGTATGAAATGAAACATGTTTACATTTATAATGAATAAATGTTTTTATAACAGATTTTTTTATTTTCTTAACAGGTATTTATATTTCGTATACAAAAAAATATGAGAATACATTTTCAGTTTTAGAGAGCAAAATAAAATAATCTGTTTGGACAGAGTTTCATCACTAAAATATCCTAATTTATTTTCGCTTGTTCCGATGTTTATAACGATTTTAAATCGTTATAAACATCGTTTGTAAAAATATGATGTTCTAAAAAATCTGTATTGGTATGTATAGTACTATATATCCGTTTTTGCCATATCTGTTTTAAATATTTTATAAAATGTATATGTAATTTGATTATATCTCTCGTTTGTCTAAAGATATATTAGATTTTTTTTAATTTTAAAAATTGCGAGATTACCGTTTATAATGTGACATTTTTCTGCAGATGGTTTAGATGGATATCTGCAATGTTGATTTAAAGTCGTAGCAGCTTTTAACTTAGTATGCTCAGTATACATTTGAACATATTTGTCGGAAAAAACTATTATTCATTAATTTAAAAAATGATTTCTGGAAATCATTAGTCAGCAGTTCTTTTATTATTATTAATTAATTAAATAATATATATTTTTAAGCCACATTTTAGATACTATTAGACCCTCTTTTAAATATAATTTTAAATTTATATAATGAATTATATAGTTTGTTTTATAAAAAAATAGTGGGTATTATATTATTTTCTTTATTAGCATTAATGTGTTTTAATTAAACTTTGAATACAAAAAAGCGTAAATTAAAATATTAATTATTTTCGTAACATTTAGTAAGAGATAACTCTAATATCGCGTATCCAACAGTGTATACGACAGCTGTTTGAATAAAATTGATGATTATCCTGAATAATTAGTATTAATTGTTCTATAAAAAATGTTCTACAAAAAATATTCATTTTTTTAATACTTGTAGACATAATTCTTCCATGTAGAGATCACCATTTATTTGTTTTCTGCGTTTAAGACAATATATTTTCGGCGACCGACCTTCCTTTCTAGGCTATAAAACAAATAAATGGTAATCTCTACATGGGCGAATTATGTCTACAAGTATTAAAAACTGAAAACAACCATCAAACGAAACAAATTTACAAATTCATTTTTTTCTTACAGGTTTTGATTTCCAATTATTCTTTTGTAGAATAATTCTACAAATAAACACATTAATGCTAGAACAAATCCAATCGAGAGCAATATCATTGGACTAATGATGTCGTCCAGTTGTAATGCTTGGAATTCTGAATACTCCAGCAGCTTTGATGTTTCTGCGTAATCTTTTCTCTCGGTGATTCCCGCTTCAAATAAATGTATTATTCTATAAAAGAAATATATTTTTAACTACTTCGTAATAGAAAACGCCGTACAGATAAAGAGATAGTTATCTTACGTTTTACTTAATTTCTTCTTAAACGGAAATCCCTTTCTTACAGCATAAGACTGAACAAATGTGACGAGAATATCTGCAGAAATTCTATATGCGTTTGATTCTTTTGGTATCAGTTTACTTGTGTAATAATCAGTCGTTATGAATGCAAAACGTTCTTTTTCAACTTTTTCAATTGCTGTCCAAGAAGAGAAAAAGTGATTGTGACGTATCATGTGATCTTTATAAATTTTATCTCTTCTGTTGTTGGAATTCTTCAAATAATATGCAGGAAACAAAATAATCGAATATATTACAAGTACTGAATGCAAAACTTCTTACACTAGGTGTCACAAAAAAAAAGTTTTCCTATTCAGTGCACTCTGTATCAGTAGCCAATAACTAATCCCACAGAACAGATATACGGATTTTAGTACGAATGATAAAAGATGCTTTGCGAAGAAACATGAAGTTAAAAATTTTCCGCTAGCAAGCATGAAACATGAAACATGGAAGTATACTTACTGCTCGAAACATGGAAAACACGAATTTCATTTGACATTTTAATATTATTTTAAACATTACGAATGAAGTCACTGTAAACGATGATATTTACGGCATTGCAAACAAAATTGTACATCTGAATAATCGGGCACACATTGAGGAACATTCTTTACATCAGTAAACATTCTACGCCAAAGGAATGTTTCTTGCTGAAAGAATGAATACGTTTTCGTTGTGTTATATCTGTTTTGTTTCCTGTGATTCCCTGTAAAGCATGTAAAGCATTATACTAGAATAGGATTTGATATAAAAGATTATGTTGAAATTTTCTTTTCCTATTTTTACATGTCTCTGTAGAAAGTTTAGTCCCAATAGCTTTACACATACAGATTGCTCTGAATAGAGAAACTTCAAATACAGCCAGCCTGTACTTACCTTAATGTAACTCCATATAGCGTTATATCCTCTCATACAACAAGAATATTCACCATTTCTGACAGCAATGGCTAGTTCGTCAAAAGTTTTTGGAACAGATTCGGTTAAAGGATAGGTCATGAAAGACATTAAAGCTCCACTGTAACTACCCATTAATACTACAACTGATAGCAACCATATTGACACGAGCAATCTGGATTTGAATCTTTTCACGTTATCCAAGTTACTTCCTAAGAATAAATATTAATTTTATAATGTAATCGTGACAGGTTGACACTAATGAAAAAAATAACATTAATAAGTGCAGAGTTCAAACAGTTAGTAGTTGAAAGTTAAAATTTAATACATAGTTAGAGTACTTCACGAAAATGTTCAATAAAGAAAAATTTTTTGAAATTTTCCTGTCTGGAAAAGAGAAAGGATTAAGTGTTATTCTTAAAAACTCAGCTGTATAATTGTACTATTTTAGATGCGGATTTTTACTTTTTTGACTGTTTTCAATTAATCGGGCATGCCATGAGAATGCACATTAATTAAAGAACTCGTTACCCCGAAGAACTCTTGTTAAACTCTACTATATTAGATTTTATCTTTTGCATTTTCGCAAGAAATCGAACACATTTTTAGACCCTTTTGAAAAATTCTCAACGTCTTCCATCGTATTCAAAGTTGACACTGGGTGTGCATGTGCATATGTTTGCCGTATTCGAACTCTTCTTCTTAATGCTCGAATTTATATTTATAAATAAATTTCGAAGATCCAGCTGATTTTTGAAAATAAGTAAATTTGAAGAAGAACTCAGAAGGAGTTCGTTATTTATTACTTAATTGTACTATGCACAGATCAGTGGTTGCAGTGACAACTTCATTATCGTTAACTCAGATATCTAAAATTATCTAGTTTGTCTCGGAAGAAGGGGCCTAATCCCTGCACCTTCTGAAAACGAGTAAAATCGGTTATAATGTACTTATCTTTGCTATTGGAATTTTTCTCTGAAAAATGCCATGCTCATCTGCTAGTTATTAATATTTTTATCTGTTTTTAAAGGCAAAAAACTGTTTACCTTGGTAAACAAACGTGCAAAATACATTCCAGAAAACACGATATCGTGGCCAGAATATTCCCACTTCTTCAGCCATGAAATCACTTTCGATTATTTTATGCAATATTAATCCATATATTGATACTGTAAGGAGAATCGTCATCCACATCTAAAAAGAAAATAGTTCTCGTGAAAATTATTTGACATAAACATTCGATTTAAAAGTAGGGTTGCCAACATTTAAAGTTACAAATTCCAAAAAAAAAGTTTTTTCTATGATTTCTGTCTTGTATGCACTAACAAGTCCTTTATCAGCCTCATCGTGGGTTTGGCCAAGTCCACAACCAAGATGCCACCTTGAAGGTTGACAACTGAAATATCCTTTCGGATTACCCTCAAAAAATTTATAGAGTTTTTCGATCTGCCCGCATTTGATCACCCATAGCAGTGAGGTTACGATAATATTACCCCGGCGATCGTAGTGCATGTTGGAAACCCTATGTAAATGATAAATACGTACTTCCAAACCAAAAGGTTTTATTATGGAAATCCAATTTGGAATTTTTTCTGGAGCCTTGATGACAAACACAACTTGCTGAAAGGTTAATGGAGATGTAAATTCCATTGCTGCAAAACGGTCAAGGTTGAGGATTAAACCAATGAAGGCCATATCGGCATCCTAAATTTAAAACAAAACAATTAATTGTATTGAATTGAAAAAAGAAGGCACAATACACAAGGAAAATATGCCACGAAGATGCGTTACAAGTAAACTTTGAATGAGAAACTAATCAGTATTACGGAGTTTCACATATTAAAAGTACAATACAAAAAAATCTATGTGACCAGCTCTTATGACAGGTGCAAACCTGTGAGTAACTACCATCTTTAACAGAATTTTTTTTTCATTTGGCTAATGGCAGGATACTTTACTCGAAAGTGAAAAGTTTTAAAAAACAAGATCGATCGATTTTGATTTAATATGAAGGTATATGGAAAATTTTGTAAAATTTTGCTATTCAGGAACAAGGTATTAAAATATAACTTACCACGAAATTAAACACATTTTTCAACAAAATTAATTCAACAAGCTGAAATCTCATTCATATAATGGTGCAGTGATCACTTATAATTTCTATATTGAATACAGATAGCTCGGTGTTTATAAGCTCACTGAGAGGTTTTGCTGGGAACCGTGATACGTCCACAATGTACAGTGACATTTCTCAGCACGCTTATATATTAGTTACAATATAAATTTATACATTATATTAACTATAAGCTTTATTGTTACGAACTTTTACTTTAATACTTTTCATCAGAAAATAATTTCGTATTTTTGTGCATATTATCAGCTGGTTATCTGTGTTAAAACAATTTGCCAGGGATACAAGTTATGCGGTGAGGTTGATACACAGCGTACATATGCTGGAGATGACGGTACAGAAATATACTCTCTTGTAATTCTTTTTGTAACAGTGCTACAAGTCACCAGTATGAAAATACAGTAATCATTAACCTTACTTGTCGTAATAATACATAATAGATTACTGTAATACATAATTGTAATATGCATTGTATCAGTATATTTTCGCACTTATCCATTTATACACACATTCACAAATGTACATGTGTATAGTTTTAATATACCTACCTTATATACTATTTTTGCAGCCATTCCAGTCCACGAGCCGTTGTCTGTTAGACCACCATAATGTTTCGGTATTGGTTTTACAAGAGAGTAACTACGTAAATAAAATTAATTAAATTTGTTTTAAATTTATTCATTTAATTAATATCTCGTAAATGTATTTATATNTAGTTTTGATGCAATAAAATGAAAACGGAATATAGAATTTTTTAAATTTATACATTATATTAACTATAAGCTATATTGTTACCTACTTTTACTTTAATACTCTTCACTAGAGAATAATATCGTGTTTTCGTTCGTATAACCAGCTGGTTTCTATGTTAATTTAAAAACAATTTGACTGGGATACAAGTTATGCTCTCGGGTGGGTACAGAACGTACATATGATGGAGATGACGATACAGAGATGTTCTTCCTTGTAATTCTTTTTGTTACAATGCCACGAGTCAATATCATAAACATACAGTAATCCTAAACCTCACATAAGAAATAGTACATTATAGATTACTGTAATACATAATTGCAACCAGTATATTTGTACATTTAACCATATATACAGACATTCACAAATTTACGTGTTTATAGTTTCAATTTGCATACCTTATTTACCAATTTTGCAACTAATCCAGTCCACGAGCCGTTTTCTGTTAAATATCCAACATGTTTTGGTAATGGTTTTATAACGGAGTAACTACGTAAATCGAATTAATTAATATTCTTTGTTTATTTAATTAATATCTCGTAAATGTATTTATATTATTTACCTAAATTTTAATTTCTCTTGAACAGCTTTAAACACGTGAAAGTAAAATCCGTCTGTAATTTTTGTTTCCGTTTCATCTAATTTCATGTAAGCCGGAATCTGTAATGTGTAAATGACATCATAAAACTAGTAAAATCAATTATTAAGAATAAAGTCATCATACCTGTACACTAACAATTTTCCATTCATATGAAATATTCTTTGCTCCTATAAGAATTTTATTAGAATTTAGAGTTTTCGTAAAAAATGTCTTATGGACAAAAATATAATAAAAAGAATATTGCATTGTATACTTCAAAGTCGAAAATTCTATATAATAGTGCGAAGAATCTATTTATTTATTACAAAAAGTGTTCAATGTGTACAGTACGTTTATGCAGGCTTTTATTTGCGTGCTACAATCAGTTAGTTGTATTAGTAGCAATGCGATAATTACAGTAATATACCGTGTTTCCCCGAAAATAAGACAGTGTCTTATATTAATTTTTGCTATAAAAAAGGCGCTAGGTCTTATTTTCAAGGAATGTCTTATTTTTTCCACAAAGAAGAATTTACAATTATTATTGAACAAAATATTCCCAAGTCAAACTTAGACGAGAGTGACGTATATTCCTGGTCGTGTCGAACTGAACTTAAATAAAACCGACGTCGATAAAGTTTATTAAACGCCTCAACCGGCAAAACCGATCTGGCATCCGGTACCACTACTCCTATACAGTACCCGTAATGGATGCCAAGCAAGCCTAAGTGTCAAGCAAGTAGCGACCATTCACAAAAATAGCCCTCATCACTCGATTCAAAGACCGGGCTAGGCCATTGATTGCCTTACAATCAGGCCTCAGCAGTGAACTTATGAAGTTTCCGTGCTGGAGTGGACTTCCCACTCTCGCTTCAACATAACCTTTTTATAGCGTCGATATCGGGCTCGATGACCAATTAGTGCTTACTGAACCGTAGCACTATGCAAATGTCATGTGGCGTGATTCCCGGCCGACCAATTAGCTATCACTAGCTGTAACGATGTGCAAATCTGTGATTCCCAAGCCATAGTTTTATGTAAATCATGCTGTTTGGCGTGATTGTCTGCTGACCAATCAGTGGCTGTACTATCAAAAAGCCAACAGCCACTTTCAACCATCTGTGGATGACCATTACAAGTAAAAAAAAAACTTTGCTAGATCTTACTTTCGGGGGAGGCCTTATATTTAGCAATTCAGCACAACCTATGGTAGGTCTTATTTTCAGAGGATGTCTTATTTTCGAGAAAACACCGTATGTAATTTATTCAAAATAGGGCGTGTAAATTTACTGGGAAATATCTAGCCAATTAATGGCAAGATCTTTCGTAGACTTAGTATTGAAGTGTTTATCCATTTAAATACTATCAAACAACTTTTTATTAGCAAATTAGAAGTCAAAAGACGATCAAATCAAGCCGTTTTATTTTAGAGATTGTTTACATATTTCAAAGTTAATAGCCTGAGGCAGCGTGGCATTTCGCAGCAATTTTAGCTGCTCTGGTTTTTACCGGTGCATGATTCGTTGATCTAATAACAAATAAAGAATTGAACCAACTACAGTTCAGAATACGTTTAGTATCGATGTTATCATTCAATAATCTGCCTTTTTTACCTCTAATTACTGTAGAATGTTAGGGGATATGTTTATGGAAATATTTTTGTACCACAGTTGATGAAATTACACTTATTGACTTAAACAAAGTAAACTCACTTAAAGTAAAGCGAATCAGAGCTTATTTTTACGAACCACATACTTTCCACTTACCGCTAATTAATATAAAATTATAGGGACGGTATTTTCGGAAATATTAATAGCCAGGAAGTGGTGACAAAACGTTTATTGGTTGAGAGAGTTAAAACACCCATACAAGAAAGCGTATCATTATTTTTGTTTAGCTACTTACTAAAATATTGTACTGTTATCGGTAACAGAAATCACTTTGAATCTAAGTTCACTGTCACCGTAGACTGCAATGACGCATCATATACTAGACAGTGTTCTGGGTTTGTGATGGCAGGGCGGGAGGGAGACAGTGTTATCAAGCTTGTGAATGCCCGCAACTCATGGGGTGCGTTCGTTATCGTAATAGTGGTCGCTCTGTGTCTCTGCCACTACAAAATTGCGCTGCTGTTTGTAGGCGTTTAAGAACGACGGTGAAAGAAACAAAGAGAGCTGCTTTCGCAATATCGATAGTATCGTGATGGAGAATCTATAATTTTAAAGTATGAGCTTTTAAAGGCAAAAGAAGAGTCCCAATTGTAAAATTTAACCATAAAATGGATTATTTGTTGAAAAAATATTTAAAATAGCCACAAAAAAAATTAAATTTCCGGCTACCATCCGAAGAAAATTCGAAAAGACACTTACGGTACTGTACATCACAGCGTGCACTAACTTGCGCTTTCACGATTTCTAAATTTTTATTCATAAAACCACATAATGGATTCCGAAACGTAACTATCTGAGCCATGGAAGATGCTATGTTGCTTTTCACCGCAAATTACTGCTACAAGCGGCTGTTTTTGCCGTTTGACGGCGCGCACTCCAACCGGAATTTAGGAACGCTTTCCGCAGGATTTTTTAAACGGATGTCGCTCGCGCGTAGTTACGCTGGGGAATAAAAGAACGCATCCATGTTCGATGCATCGGTGCACTGCTGCTGGCAGTTGAATTCAATGTTACCAGATAGAGATGGGTTTCCCAAGCATCAAATATTAAGACTGGCGGAATTTTAAATGAAAGACTGGACATTTTTATATTAATTTCGAGTGTAAGACGCACATGAATTTTGGAGGCAATTTTTCGATGAAAAAAGTGCGTCTTCTAGTCTGTAAAATACGGTAATTAATATTCCATAAACACAATATATTACTCACAAAACATCAAAAACCACGAATAAAACTATTATTTTTTTTTAATTCATTTATGAAATGGGGGACCGCAAATTCCCTGGGGTCCTACGTTGTGACACTGACCCCGCTCGCCTGACGCAAGGGTTCGGGTACGATTAGTTATGATTACTCAGTACATACAAATATATGTCTGAAATACACTAATATCTAAAAGTAATTAAACGTTTATATTAACAAATATAGAAATACAGTATCTCACCATGTTCTTCAGCACACAAAAAAGACATTGTTACAATTATCAAGTGCAAGACAGTTGTAACATATGCTTTCATTATCTCGGTTAGAATCAACTTATAACGTCTTAAAAACGTTAGACTAGAATCTGCAGCAGACGAATATAAACGAAAGCAAATCTATTGTGTGTAACGTCACGAAAATAAGTAATTTTAGTAAAATCGATGTGGAATTTAATAATATCGTTCTCATTCTGCATCAAATCGATGTTTAATTAACTGAGAAAGACGAAAAAAATTGAACAAAACCAAACTTTACAACTCATTTTATTGTAATTTTAGACTTCATTATTTTTAGGCTACGGTAATTTAACATTCGTTCTATACTTCAATATACAAAGCAAGGACGTAATATTTCTCTTTACCTAACAACACGGCATTTTACTTTCTGTGCATTTATTTAATGAGATAAGAAAATGCATTACTCAGCTGTGCATTAAAGGCACACAGGAAACAGGTGTCGACCAGCCATTTTAAAATGCATGTACTTTTTTTATCTACTAAATGCTTGAAAATAATGTCTTCAGTATTTTACTTCAAAGTATTAAAGATCGCATTGAAAAATTTCAAATTTGTACGAAAAAAATATTTTTACATTAAGCCACACCGAAGTTCCAAGGGTAACCGTGGTTCCCCGCCCGTTAATGAAGAATGTGTAATTAGCGCAAGGGTTTTATTCCACGTCTGTAACATCTAAATAAATGCTATTTACCCTTAAAAAGTCTTCTCGGTAGGCATTCCCTATGTACTGTACATCGCTCAAGTGTTGCGTTTGCAGTAACTTAATAAACAAACGAACTTCTAGCAGCGCGATCAAACGGCCTTCCTACAGCTATATAAATATCTAACCTAATAGCCACAGTCAGTCAATATCGTTTATTATATACAAAAAGTACATTTCCGGTGCCGCAATGCACTGCCGGATGTGGAAACATGATAAGATACAATAATTACAGTTGTTTACAGGAGTAGAGGTACATAATAACAAAAATAGATAGTAATACAACATAAATACAATCGTTGCTGACAGAATATGGTTATACAGAGAAACCCGAAAAATGTGATAGCCACAGAAAGCTGCTCAATGTTCATATG